GATAGGTTGTAAGATCATCAGGACAACCCGTCCCAACTCATGCTCAAGAATTGTGATACCAAATATATACCGCTTCATCATAGTCGTGAAGCCTAGCAGAATGCTATCTAGTGTCTTACCCAAACGCCGCGTGATACTGTGGTCGTATCACAGATTTTGTGCGCCAGGGGTTCTTTTAGCGATCGCCTAGATCGAAACCCGAAGCCCTCGATCTGTTCCTGATATCGCTCGGCTCCCTGCCGTATGCAAGTGGATCGTCCCGAGGCTGTTCCTGACGCTGCCAGTTCCACGGCATCCAACCACTGCTTGTCCTTCGGCCTAGTGCGGGCGGTGTGATGGGGTACGGTGGTCGGTCGGAGCCTGAGCTCAATTCGTCGCGCTCAATCCTGTCGAATTCGGCTTCGCTCCTATTGCGAGACAGGCTACCAGAAAGGCTTCCGGTACTCCTGTTAACTTCATGGTATCTGTTTCCACCAGTTTGCTGTGAGCGGATGTTATCTTGCTCGCGGTCGAATGCTTGTAGAAGGGTCTCGAGACGCTGACGTTGTGACGTTACGTAGTTTAGTCGGTCGTCGTTGTTGCGGATAGAGTCGGGGACGAGGTTTCCTGCACCACGGCTCAGGTCCGAGGCTTGCGCGTCTCTTGTACCTGCGGTACCGGCAGCACCATAAAGCGCACTGGCTCCGCTGAGCGCCTGGTTGACCAGCCCGTATAGATCATTACTGCCCCTTGCTGACGGCATCTGGAACCTGCTCATGAGGTTTTGCGCGTACGTCTGTCCATCGGGCCTCGGTGAGTCGGGCTTCCTGGGTGCAAAGCCCAACACGTTGACCTTTACCCACTCAATACCCATCTCGACGTATGCTATACCTGCTGACTTGGCGCGATCATGACTCTGGGTAATGAACTCGTCGATTTCGCGCTCATGGTGGTAGAGAAAAGGTTCCATGTACTCCTGGTACAGGTAGCCTGCGCCCTGCGAACCAGGCAGGATCAGGTATAGGTGTGCGAAGAAGCGAATCCATGAATAGAAGGGCACCCAGCTAAGGATGAAGTCGAATGTGTTTTCCACGGCGGTGCAGGCTGAAAGGACGACGAAGTAGATCAGCCAGGGTGCGAGGAGGGCTGGATCTGAGGTGTGGAGAGCTTTGTAGGACGCGAAGATAGGAAAGAAGACTGTAGTTGCGACGCTGTAGCATGATTAGCTAGGTGATCTTTGAATATATCGCAGCAAAAAAGAAACACTGCATATCGGAGTCATGCGAGCTTCGGGAACGCAAGCGGTGGAGCTCGCGATATCATGCTAGGCTTCAAAGCTTGCTCGCGAATTGATACCTGACTGCGGGGGCGGGGTACACTTACGTCAAACCGTCTGCGACAAAGCCGAACATGGTCGCAGTTGTTGGGGTGTCTTCTTGAGATGTCGGTGTTTAGGTGATAGATGCAGGCCCGAGACTTGCAGGTAGCGAAAGCTCAAGCCTCACGGATACGCGGGCGGAGGTGTGGAGTGGCTCAGCCAGATGATCCATGGGATGTACGTCAGTCGGTCAAGAGCGGCGCGCTATCCGCTTTCGGTCCTTTGTGTGTGAGCTCCCAAATGTCAGCTGCTGGGAGAACAGACTAATCACGTCTAGGAAATATGTCTCAAGACACCGGACTCGTGCAAACTCAGATCCTAGTGGTTGTGCAATACTTAGGCATCATCCAGGTGATGTTCACTGTCGCGACTTTCTCGAACCCGCGTTGCGAACGCGTACTGATCGGACAACGCCTGAGCAGCACCAACCACCACCACCACTACCACCAACAACACATCAACTTTCCGAATTGGTCGCATTCTTCAGCTGTCTCTGTACTTCTCAGAATTTTGAATTGACCAGGTCAACAGGTCCCTCACTTGGGTATGTTCAACCAGACCTAACCATGAAAGTGTCCTTACCAGTGGGAGTGGCTCCGAATCGTCCCAACATCATCACGGCCCCTTCTCATACCAAATTGCGCAGACATGGAATTTGATTCTATTCCGATCTATATCGCAAAGCATGTAGCCAGCGACTGTTTCTCTCGTCTCGTTATGAAATTGCGTTTGAGGCCCCACTGCGTCTGTCTTGTCTCCATAGCGCCTATGTCCGATACTTCTACCGCGTCTACGGCACTGATCTTGCAACTATCCGATATGATACGATGCAGAAAACTCCAAGACGCTTCTTATGCTGCCATGGCTGCCAAGAGACCGCTTATCATTACCAGGAGCTCGACAACAGCTAACCACCCCGCATTTGCAGCCGTTGTCGCCGTTGACATCATCCCGCTTTTGTCCGTGCAGTGGGGGAAAGCAACTATCGTGAACATAAATCTGCGGCACAGGTTACGTAAATCAGCTATCTTCTTTCGAGTACCAAACCAGCTTTCTTGGCGGGCAACGAGTTCCTTGGCTTATGCTTGTAGTTCGTCGATCTTCACTGACAGTCCAGTGAAACAGTCTCGAATGCATTTCATAGAGGTAGCTCCTCTTGGCTCCAACTAGAAAACGGTGTTTTGCCTACCGAGGAGTGATGTACCAAATGCCGAGCGACGTATGCCAACTATTAAGGATCAAATCTTGCATCCAACCCTGTCGTTCGAGAAGTTGAGGCAATGCGGGTTATGATTAGAGCGGAAGGCCTGAGTATGGCTTGGAAGATAAGTCCTGTCTTTGCAGGGTTACGCTCAAAATATAAAGGTAGATGCATTCCCTCGATTTTGCATGACACAGCGACAGGTTCAAAGCATTAGCGTCCATAACAACTGTCAACATGGTCTCTATCAAGTCTCTCGTAGCTCTAGTATTCCTGAGATCAGCCATTGCAGCACCCCAAGCTTCGGTATCGCCATCAGCTGTAAGCTCTGCCAGCCCATCGGCATCAAGTTCGGTGACCCTTACTGCCGAGGAGACGGACGAATTATTTAGCCTTCATGAGGAGTTAGTCAACATCCCGTCCATATCCGGAGATGAAGTGGAAGGTGCAGAGTTCTTATCGGAATACCTGTCGAACTTGGGGTACTACGTCGAGGAAGTTCCTGTTGGAGACACCGGCACTTTCAATGTATTCGCCTATCCACAGGAGCTGAAAGACGAAGGTGTTTGGCCAGAGGTCTTGATCACTAGCCATATTGATACGGTCAGTATACATGGCATGACATGTAACAGGTAGCAAGTCCTAACGTAGAACCAGGTGCCGCCATTTTACCCTTTCGAGCGCAGAGAAGAAAATGGCACAGTCTATCACTTCGGTCGTGGAACGGTCGACGCAAAAGGCCCCGTAGCAACTATGATCGTTGCATCACACAAGTTCTTTCAGTCACGGACCGACACCCCTAGTCTTGGCATGTTGTTCGTTGTCTCCGAAGAGACTGGTGGCGCCGGAATGAAAGCATTTGCACAAGTAAGCCCAACTGTACCAAATGCATGTGAAGCACGTACTGACTTTGTGGCTTCACCGTTACAGTATGCTTCGAACACAACTTTCCGTGCAGGTATTTTCGGCGAGCCAACAGAAGGCAAACTGGCTAGTGGACACAAGGGCAGTTTACGCGTGGACCTGGATGTTCTGGGCAAATCCTCTCACTCCGCCTACCCTTGGCTTGGTGTAAGCGCTATCAACTATCTAACCGAAGCCATCGTTGCACTTAACATGCTCGAGCCGGCTCTTCCTAGAAGCGAGCTACTCGGCGCCACAACTCTCAATGCTGGCGTTATTGCAGGCGGGGTTGCGGGTAACGTTGTGCCTGAACACGCGAATGCTAGTATCGTTGTTCGTATCGCTCGCAGCGAAGACGATGCAGTCGACGTTGTCCAGGACATGATGGCAGGAATGCTTTCACCCATTGTTGCTCGCGCGAAGGCAGAAAACGCTACATTCGATGTTCGTTTCTCGAATACTACGTACCCCGCACCTATTCTCGATACCGATGTCGAGGGTTTGGAGGTAGCCCCTGTTTTCTATGGTACAGATATTCCGAGTCTGCCACAGGTGGAGAAGAGATATTTGTTTGGCACCGGAACGATTGAAGTCGCACACACGCCGGATGAGATGTTGAGTCAAGATGAACTTGTACAGGCGGCGGAAGCATATGGTATGATACTTGAAAGTTTGTTCTCAGAGTAGGAACATATCGACACGATGATTACATTTGGTTAGAAGACGATGAGGATGTGTCAGGTGAGTAAACTACGCACGATTCCATCAAGGCTCATGGCCATGATATTAACATAGTAGCCTCTATTTGATTGCCCAATGTCTATTGTCAATTCTTGCCTGTCTTGTCTTTCCCTGTATTCGGTGAACGTACACCGCGGATACCTCGAGTGTGGCAATATGTCTTTTTGCTGCACAAAAACATGCTCGAGACGCAGATTACATAGTGATGTCATGTATAGCGGTACAGAGACAGCAAGACAAGTGAACTTTCGCCAGGGGAATCTGTGAGCGTGATACTATGGAAACAGCTTGCTCGTGTTGTGCGTACTTTACGAGCAAACACAAAAGTATATAAATTTTAAGGAGATACCCAAGGCGCTCCTTGTCAACCAGTTTACGTCTCATTGTCCATCTCTTCAACCAAGGCAAATGATGATGTGTTAGGCCGCACTACCACCGCCTCTTTCTCTGACATTTCGGCGCTCCTGCACCGCCTCTTCGTTCGTAAAAACCGTCACCGATAGTCGCTCCTTCTCTGAATGGAGGCCGTTTGCAGAGCTCGCTAACTCTGCCTCCAGACTACATCATGCGCTTATTCTACGGGTGAGAGACGAAGACAATGGCGTAATTCCACACCTGACGCCTGAGCAAACGGTCTTTGGTGCCTTTCTTTATTTCTGATATCACTATACAAATAGCTTCTACCTTCCTTAACTCTTTTCTTTGGACAGCAATCTACCAACTACCTCTAATACTCTTCGACTTTTATATACACTTTCAACGCTTCCCTTAAGTCTCTTCCATTTATCTAACATCGACATGGCTGAATACGGACCAACTGCCTTACCTCCAGGTGCAAACGATGGCGGCGACGGCTCGAGCATGAAGACAGCTACGTGGGTGGTTGGTAGCGACAAGAACGCACGAAGCTTCGTCGTGAAGCAAGGTCCTGCCTTTGTACGCTGCAACCTTACTGACGCTCTCGACTTCAACGATATGCATTACCATGTCTTCGACCCGCCCACTGGTCGCCGAGTCAAGTTCGTGTGGAAAGGCCCTGGTCGTCCTCAGTTCCAGGCCTTTGCCCACCAGTACTGGGAGATCCAACAGGAGGAAGAGGATTCCCTAGCTCGGGGTGACCGCCTACCTGGTGAAGATCTCAGTGAAGGTAAATATAGTGCCAACCGGGAATCACGAGCATTATTGACATAGAACAGACGCTGAAGAAGATTATGATATCGCTGGAGATGCTGTTTTCGACCGTGTCGAACGAACACCAACACAGCTTACCCATCAAATCAACTCTGCTTCATCCCCTCCGAGTTGTAAGTGACATTTCCATCATATATCTCTTTGGATTAAGCTGATTTTCCAAGCTTCACGCAACTTCTCTTCATCCCCTCCTTCTGGTGGTTATGGTCGAGGCAGTCCTTCGACTCCTCGAGGTCGCGGCCCTGTCAGCCAGCCAGGATCTGGTCGAGGTTCGAGTGCACGCGGTTCTGGTACTCCTCGAGGTCGTGGCTCAGGTGGCTCGCGACGAGATCAAGGATCTCCAAAGTCACCGATGTCGCCATCCTTTGACAAGAGCAAGGGTCCAGGCGGTGGCTCTCCTGGAGCTGGAACGGTTTGAGACAAGAGATCAACACTAGATTTGCTGTCTAGAGTAAAAGGTCTTGGATTGGGGCCGCGTTCAGCATGGCGTTTAGATTGGTCACAGATATACCCCTAGATTTTTGAGATGGACTTCAGGAACGTTGAATTTGGCCTTCGATCTTAACTTGGATATGACGTGATGAAAGCTCCAGTCGAATCGACTTCGAACCTCGTCTGTGATCCTGATGATGTGCTGAACTCCTTTCACGCGTCATCTTTGTCGACCTCCGTAGCCCAAGAAGCATCTGAAGACCACTAGACATACGTGTAAATGTCCATTGTGATGATCTTAAAAGCAAGTTGGTGAATACGTGTATGCGCTAACAAATGTCTGAAGGTCTACAGACGTCGTCATACACCCTCACTACGTCATTCCGGAACGCGAGACGAAGAATACATATCACTCCTAGGGGATATAGGCTGGTCGAAAGGAAGCCTGATGTAATTCTACGCGCTGTACGTATATATACCTGGAATGAGTCGGGGTGAGAGCGTCCAAGGAGGAGGAGGCTGAGAGAAGTGAGGTCGGAAGCCGGCCAAGGTGCGTTCCGACGAGTCCATGTCTTGGAAGCCGAGGACGCGTGAACTGCAACCAATAATTTGTAGCCTATCTGACACTGCATCTGATAAGCGCGGTGATCGCATGTAAGGTTGTCAGAATGTTACCGAACCCACGCGCTGTAGTCTCAGAAATGCACCTATCTGCCGCCTCGTGCAGCGCGCCTGCCACGCGAGCAATGACGCACGACGATCTCCGACGAGCGCGTGCGTGACCACCTCAAGGTCGCTAAACTTCGCAGTATACATCATCCCTCTGGCCCTCGCGACGTTCCCTCGGCCCCATATTAATTCTCACGGTGCGATCAGCCACAGCTACTTAAGTCCTATGACGCGCCTGTGGCTGTTGTCCATTGGTTGTACCGGTCTCCGCTGGATCCGCTAAATGCTGCTCACGCCTCGCACCTACTCCCTCGCTCACATAGCCGACGACGGCCGCAAACGCCCTGAGCCCTCGTATTTTGTGTGTATACAGTCGCGGAAGGAACGGGAAGCCGAGGAAAAACGCGCGCTGAAGATGTTATTGTTGCACCAAAAGGGGAGCGTGAAGGTGGGAGAGGTTGTGAGGTAAGTTCTCAGGGTCTGTCGGCGGAAGTGCATGGACGTCGTATGCATTGGCTACAGAGGATGGACAGGGCGCGCCAAAGTTTACCGCTATCTGGAAAGGGATGCTAAGCAGCCATGCAGATACACCCTCACTTACACACCCTCGGAAGACCGAATATTACCGCCCCCTTCGTGCCTCCATGTTCGCATACGAAACTCCTCCGCGATACCACTACGCGCCGCATACCTCCACGGGCCGTACACGATCCACGTCTCCGCATACCCCTCCACCTTCAACCCGAACAAAAAGGCTGACGAATCGAAAATTTACGGGGAGCCTGACTTTGAGCCTAATGTCAAGGCAGGTGGATACTGGAACACCAAATTAATAGTTCCGGAGGAATACAGAAATGATATCAGGGAGTACGACGGCACATCGAAGAGCCTCACCTGGATTATCGAGATTGCCTCGCAGATCATCTTTTCCAACTCTGCGTCTGTAAACTACGAACTGCTGGTGGCGCGCGACGAACGATCGTTGGATCTTGGCTTCACTGCTGTTACCGGAAACAGTCATGGAACACCAGGAAAGGTGCAAGATCACCAGCAGGGTAGCCAGAAACATGTTTCCGGCCACCCTGCACAGCCCAAGGGGGTGTATTCAAAGGCTGTGAAGCTAGTGGTTGACGACACTACAAGCTTGTGGAATACACCTGAACTACCAGAGTGGAAAGAGGACAATGTCCAAGATAGTTCCAGAAAGTCGAAGGATCACGATGTTCCGGCGGAAAGCCGACGGAAAAAGAAGAATATACACCTTGTGATAGTAACACATGGCTTACACAGCAATCTTGGCGCGGATATGTTGTACCTCAAAGAGAGCATTGACGCGACGGCAAGGCAAGCTCGAGAAGATCGGCGACGGCGTCGCAAAGAGGCGAAGGGTGCTAAAAGTACTGAACAGAATCAGGACACATCGACAGCACCATTGTCAGGCGGTCAAGAGGACATACCAGATGATGAAGAGGATAGCGACGAGGAAGATGTTATTGTACGCGGGTTCGACGGAAATGTAATACGTACCGAGCGTGGTATTCAATATTTGGGCAAGCGACTCGCTAAGTACGTGTTGAGTCTGACTTACCCTGATCAACCCTACTTGCCGATCAAGAGGTCTATGGGACAAAAGTTATCCAACACGTTTTCTCCAACGAAAGACAAGCACGATGAAGGCATACCATCCCATCACGGAAGCAGTGTACATCACACAACTTCAGGGCACGACAAACGCGCATACAAGTTCACTAGTATCAGCTTCATCGGCCACTCGCTTGGAGGGCTGGTACAAACGTATGCTATTGCATATATCCACAAGCACTCCCCTCACTTTTTCGACACCATCAAGCCCATCAACTTTATCGCTATGGCGTCACCTTTCCTGGGATTAAGCAACGAGAATCCCACCTACGTCAAGTTTGCACTCGACTTCGGCTTAGTCGGGAGGACAGGGCAAGACCTTGGTCTGACCTGGAGAGCGCCAACTCTAGCAAAGAGTGGCTGGACCGCCATGGGCAGTGTGTTCGGTAACCAGAGCCAGGACCAACATCAAGAAGACCCTGGTGCGAAGCCTCTGCTGCGGATACTTCCTACTGGTCCGGCTCATCAAGTCCTGCGAAGATTCCGGAATCGCACTGTGTACTCCAACGTTGTTAACGATGGCATAGTACCATTGCGCACGAGTTGCCTACTGTTCCTGGATTGGAGAGGCTTAGGTCGTGTTGAAAAAGCGCGTCGAGAAAACGGACTCATTGGCACAGTAGCTGTATGGGGTTACGGCCAACTTACTGGACAAAGTTCATCTCCAAACCCTTCCAGGATCGGGTTTTCGGACGATGAGGGTTCGGGAATTGATTCGCCTACAGGCAATGGTGACGACACTGCCGTACCTCTACCAGGTGCCGATGTCACAAATCAAGACGACGAAGCACAGGTATCTTCTACTGAGCCAGCAGCTCATCAGTTCATAGAAGGGCAAAAGAAGAGTCCAGAGGCAAAGGAGCCCAATGACCAATACTTCCAACCGCAAAATACCTTGATGCAACTATGGAGCTATATAAGACCAACCGGAAAGCACACTTCGCGCGACAAGAAGATGTTTAGTCGTAGTCAGACCATTTACAAGGACGAAGAGGACGAGCAGGCCCCAGCTGAAGCCGAGAGCTCGACGTCATCACATACCACACAGCCAAGGAAGCGACCTCAAGCGACCCGTGGTGACTCCATCGTTGACAACCCCAAAAGCCATCTAGCACCACCCAAAACTACGATTTTTGAATCCGCTGGTGATCTGATCAACCCCCCTGTCCCTCCAATGTCCTGGATTACCGACCCATCCACCCGAGCACGCACCATTTTCCATGACAGGATCTACCACCCTGAAGACATCCCACCGCCGCCAACCAAAAAACCGACACGCAACTTCTCTGGTGCTAGCGCCTCCTCTCAGGCGTCAACAACTGCCGTTGACGAAAGTGTGATGCGCGTGGAGGAGAAGATTGCTCGCGCTTATCACAAGGACCTTTCGTGGCGTAAAGTGCTTGTCAGTCTTGAGCCGGACGCGCACAATAACATGATTGTACGCCGCATGTTTGCTAACGCGTATGGTTGGCCTGTGGTAAAGCACCTCTGCGATACTCACTTCGCAGATACTTATTCAGCCAACACCCGGGATGAAGAAGAACCTGCCCTTGATCGTGCACAAGCTGTCAACAAACCGATCAATGAAGATGGCGAGCATGTCAAGGGGCAGGAGAGACTGCAGCCACCTATTGAGCGTACCGATAGCGAGATGAGGGAAGTGGCTGACGAACTAGCGCCACTCAAGCCGCCGAGTCTGAGGATACCCAAGCGATCGAATACAACCGACTCGACCCGTAGTATAGGCTCGGGCGATTGGGATAGCATCTACTTCAACGAGACTAGCGACGAGGACGACGAAGTAGATGACCGAAACGCCGTGCAGAAATTCTTCCAACCCAACATGCCTAGAAGCCCGCGAAGTCCCGGACCTGTACCGAAGACGCCTGATGGCAAGGGTACAAGCGAGGCAGACATCTCTGATTTTCTCCATGGATCCCATTCAGTTGAAGTTCATCGGGGCCTTGGCGCAAGCCCAAGCAAAAAGCCAGCGAAACTGACCCGCGAACCGGACTCAATAGAGCCTGTCGATGAGGCACCGAAAGTTTTGGATGATGCGACAGTAGTATCCAGTCCGACCGAGACACCTGTAGGCAGGATCAGTGGAGTAGGGTTGAGAAGTTCGATCGATATCCCAGCATCGCCAGAGAGTGGCAGGGCCAAGAGCGGAAGCGGTGTCGCTGAACAGGTTGCTATCCTCAGCAGCCCGAAGAGTAAGGGGGAATCAGCAGGCTCATAGTATGGAGCCCGCCAATTGTTAAGGCGAGCGATGGCAGACCGCAAAGCCAGAAAATCGAGAAAGAGACGTTGATATGCCGAATCTTTCAACACGCAGTACTGGTTTGTAGTTTTTTACTCGCTCATTTCTCAACATCCCATGGAGGCCACTCAAGCGTTTTCGGTCTCGGGTGCAGTGGGTGTTACGTGACGTTGGGGTTGAGATCAGTGCACAGAGGCGGATGCCACACGGACGGTGGCATGGATCGTAGCACGGTTGCGTCCACAAAGATACCCAAGATCTCATTCCGTGGTTTGCAGGAGTATAGGTCTTCTTTTTCTAATAGTTCCGTTTAATTATGTTCCCTTTATATTCATCTTCCCTGAGGTCGTTCTTTCCTTCATTGTACGCCTACATCTCCCTCGCGCAGATTTCACATCATCCATAATAGATATTGTGGAGGCCACCTGGTTTCCTCGTTTTCACATTCACCTGTTAGTCCCACGTTGTTCATTCGCCGACGTCATCTTTATGCCGCGCCTTCCTCATTCACTGCCGCTCTCGCGTGGCCAAGCACTCCGTTTGTTGGTGACTCGACCACAACAGACCAAGCTTGGCGCTTTGTCCAATACTCGGGCGAATCCTCGCATTTTATGACCACAACCCGATTGCAATATCGTAATGCGTTGATCACTGCTACGCTTCAACTTCGCTCTAGGTCGCTGGCTTTGTTCTGGCCTGATTGCCTCGTCATACTCGAATCTCGAATCGGTACATCCGTCAATCACCAGACCCCACACCCCACGACAAAGAGCCTCGTTCGGGAAAATGGTCAGGTATACTGATATGGCCAACCCTCCGCCCGGGGCCACGTGGAACATGGGACCTGCTATGGTGGTTGGCGGTCGGAGACGCCGCAGCACGCGCCGCTCCAACGCGATGCGCTCCAACACTACGCCTAATCTCGGAATTGACTCACTTGCCGCGATGGAGTATGCGAATGGTGTCACTGCAGGACTGAATACTGAACGTGTAGAACAACCGCATGGTTCACCTTCTTCCGAGCCCTCAAATCCCACGGTCAACCACTTCGCGCCGAACAGTGGCCCTCCAGGACTCCGCCGTCGCTCTCCTATCTCGCGCCCATCCGATGACCTTTCGAGCATGCTGATCGCTCAATCGCCTACGCCCACGATAGACAGCGCTTCAGCAACAGCGACAGAGGGGAAGAAGAAGCATGGCAAATTTAGCTTCAAGCCAAAGGATCAGGACTGTCCCGCAAGCTCACATGAGACTGTTCATGAAGCGTCGCCTCTACCACCACTTACCCCTGTGAAAGCCGCAAAACTACTAGGCGTTGACGCTGGTCCTGGTAGGGCTCGGAGCAATTCCGAAGGCCGTCGTTCACAGCAAGATGGTGGTTACGATGGTCCACCAGTATTGCCAAAATCGACTAGGAAAGTATCCGCGCCGGTACCTGCCTCTTCAAAGGGCCTGTTGAGTAGACAGGCAAAGCTCAAGGAGGAAGGCATTGGACCTGATCTGCCTAAAGCCAAGAAGTTTTGGGCGAACAGCAACAGGAAAGCGCAGCAAATGTTAGGCTTACTCCCATCTGCCGCAACTAGTTCCAAACGTGAAGCCGATATGGAGCGCGCTGCAGCTGCTTCTCTAGTACGGCGTACAGAGGATGATAGTGATGCATACTACAGTAGCGACTCTGAACTTCATGCTCATTCTTGTTTGCTTCATCCGGCTGCGCGCCTGGCTCCCGAGACTCCAAGACGGCGTATGCGCAAGAGAATTCCCAAATCGCTTGACAAAATGGCACCCATCACGGAGACGTCTCACGATGAGCTACGCTCATCTTACCATGTGAACGAACAGTGTCCTGAGCTAGGTGTTATCTCTGAGTGCGAACAATTCTCTCCTTCATCCAAGCCCCCACTGCCTCAGTTGTATACTGAGCCGTTGCTCACATCTGACGTCATGTACGAGCTGGAAGCGGACGATCTCTCGCCAACAGACCAAGTCGTGGAAGAGGGCGATGGAGACGGAGAGGTGCAATCTGCCGTCCATCCTGGAGATGAGGTTGACGTCAATCATGTTGGAGACCAGCAAGCCACTGGATTCCGCTTCCGAAGCCCATTACAGACGGTCGAAGATCGTTTGCTCGACGAGGCAGAGGCTCAACTAGCGATTGTCAGGACAAGGCAAAACGAAAACGACGCGACAAGACTCATGCTTGACACCAATTATGCTGCTCTCATGGCGTCGAACAAAACTATGAAAATGGAGTTCGCGACCGCAAAGCAAAACATGGCCTCGGAGGAGCGTGAGCGCTTTGACGGCGCCGATAGCGAGGATGAAGACTCGATCTCAATCTCAAGCAGTATCAATCTGGACGAAGAGGTCATGACTTTCACGCGGATTACTCCCGGTATGGTCAAGCTCGTCGACATTGCCGCCAAGACAAGGAAGCCACTTGCTCCACTTGCACCGACCGCACCAGCCGTGCCACTGCCTATGCTAGCTTTATCTACCCAGATGAAGCCGCCTTTCAAGCCGGCTGGCGCTTTTTTCTTCCAACACGACGAGAGGATTAGTCCTTTCAACGAGCGCAGCAAGCATGTGGATGTGCGTAAGTATATCCTCTCAGTCACCAACATAACTAACAGAATCCAGCCAACAGCCATACCTAGTCAGCTTCCCACTAAAGATTACAACCGCCTCGACAAGGACAAGAAACCAAAAATGCCCCGTGATGATTCACGTCTGCTCGTCCAAGATTGGATGTCCACCTACGATCACACGAAACAATGCCCGGTCTCTGAACGTATCGATCCTGATGTTCTCGCTGATCAACGGATTCCGCCTGCTCCATTCCCTAAAGACGATTGCTCTACACCTCCACGTCCCCCCTCGCATCCACCACCACCACACCCACCCAGGCTGTCATCAAAAGAGCACTACTGTCTCACGAATGGCCATATCTTCCACCCTATCAATCTCAAGACTGTTCCTGATGAGGTCGCCATCAACAGCTTAGAAGTCCGACCTTACCTGCACACCGCTGTTGGCTCCAAACAGCATGTTTCTGTCCCTGTTTTCTGCGACCGGTGTGACGATGACGTCAAAGAAGAGCTTTGGGAATGTGACATCGCTGTTTGTCGTATGGGGGTTTGTAAGCCATGTGCGGAGGATATGGAGCACGAGTGGCAGGAACGTGTTGGTGATGCTTGGACTCGCTGACGATTATCGTGCCGCAGTGCCTACTAGAGTTCGAGGGGTAAGGATCTGTCCGTGAGAGTATCGGTACTGTGATGCTATCATGGGATGTGTAATAGCAATGACTTCACGATGTAAATACTCGACGATCAGCGTACCTCACATATGACGAAGTAAATTTTCTCTATCATTGTGCCAGCCTTTCCTGATTCGAGACCATAATATTCCTGCGGCATCAGGCTTTTCCACACATCCAACCCCGATTTTAGACCCTCAGATATTCCCAAGGCTTCCAGAAAGGACATGCCGACGTGGAATGTCAAGCCATCTCAGCCGCCGCCCTCTTTCTTATCTGCCAGAGCATCCATCTCACATTTCTTGTCCTCCTTGATAACCACTTCTTTTTCCGCTTGTCCGCTGCCTCGACCATGCTCCTTCCTAAACTCACTGTTCGCCACTCCACCCTTGACCATACCGCTCTGCCCAGTCGGTAGTGGTGTTGCAAAATAGGCGTTGGCAGGCATCAACTGCACACCACCCTGAAGTCCATAGATAAATTCATTCCTTAAATCAGTATGCTCATCAAAAAGCCTATCCCAAGCGACCTTCAGCGGCGCTGAAAAGTTTGGTGATACTGATAAAGACCGGACGACAACGGCATTGGGGTTCGAGGGGTGGTGGCGTGACCAGTGCGTTACAAGGACGTCTAGGAGGAGTTTGCGGAGAGGGGAGGGGGCGAGGACATTCTTTGCCGTAGCTGATGGAGTTGATCCGGATGAAGAATTTGATGATGAAGAGGCAATCGTCGGTGATGGTGAGGTTTCCTTCCAAACGTAGTCCAAGAGTGAGGGCGTGAGAGCAAAGTAGACTCCGATACCTGCGTAGATTCGGGATATAGCGTGGTTCATGAAGGGAAGAGCGCCGAGACGTTGCCCGAGGAGCCATGCGTGTACAGAGGGAGGGATGAACTCGATCTGGTTCATGTCTTGTGGAGATGGAGGCGGTGGCATGAGGGCAGGCATGTGGCTTAGTGGAGGAGTGGCCTGGATACGTCCATCGCTATTGGCAGGTGAGATTTTCGAAGACGGTTGACGGAGTGCTGTAGCAGTTTCCGAGCCTAGAGTGGTCGACTTTGGGACAGCTGTCAACGAGCGATGAGGGTAGTGGGTCGTTGATGTTCTTGCGTCGACATTCGGTGGGTATGAGTCTTTGTAGATGAACTTTAGGAAGAGACCGAAGATTGCAGGATCCACATCTGTTAGCCTGATAACTCGCTCCTCGTTGATCTTGTCCTCTTTTACACTCTTCTCCTCAGTAGGCTTCTCATCTTTGTTCTTGTCCTTAGCCTCTACCACAACCTTTGCTTCGACCTCCTCGCCCTCTCTGGAAGGAGAAAGTTTGCGCTTTTTGTTAACCATGGTTAAGCCCGCAATTTCTTTACCGAGATAGAAAGAGTGAACGCATAGTAGGGCGACGGGCAGGGTGTAGGTGCAGTACAAAGAGTGTTGGCCGACAATTACAGTGACTGATTTGCCCTGTATCCTAGATCCTAGAATTAGACAAGTCACTTGAGGCTGGAGGATGAGACAATTACATGTTCAAGAACATGTCCGAATGAGACGTTGGTGGTGGCGGAGTCGTGCCGTGCGCTGCTGGCAGTGGCGCAAGTTGCTGCTGCGTGATGCTATTCATCATGGAAATTGTGGGTTGTTGATTTGATGAGAGATAACAAGAGTCGTGATCGTCAAAGGAGTTCATGTAAGTGGCAAACTTGTGGCAAGCTACCCAGCTAAGACAGCGCTAGTACGCGGTTGGTGAAGGTGAGAGATACCTTTACTTCGAACGCATCCTCAAGGTGGAAGAAGAACAAAACACAAGCCAGCACAAACACGCATGAGTACTTTCTTCAAAGACGCATGTTTTTATGAGCTCGACTATTCGTCATGAGCTATACGAGATCTTTCTAGCTATAGTATTGCTTCGCACTACCTTTCCGTATCAAGCTCGTCGAGGGTTACCTTCTTAGCCTCTTCCAAGTATTTCTCGATCTTCAACTCTGTATCTTTAGTACCTAGACGGAGCAACAGACTGTCTCCGAAGTCGGGGAACTGCCTGAATAAACCCAACCATACCGACTGTGCATACATGCCGCAGTGTTTCTCCCAGTTCAAAGATACAATGTCCAGTACCAAACGACGAAGTGCAGACCCACGGGCAGTATGTTTCCAGATAAATTCGATCTCATGAGGCTCGACAGATTGTTCCCGGACTACATGTACGTCGTAGAGATCCCGCATAGCGGCGTTCTTGAAGTCCGCGACAAGGAGTCGATCGCCAAGTATCCAAAGACGAAAGCTGCCGTATATGTAATCCCACTCCGGCTTGAGATGTGATAAGGTCGCGAAATATAGCCAATGCACAAAGGCTTCGAAGACTTCTGGCCGACAGTCATGTAGCGTGATCTTGTTCTCGATTCCTTCTTCGAACGGTCCATCGCAGGCAACTCGAAAGAACCCAGAGTGATGGCTTAGAAGGGCTTTAGGGATGACCCAGTTCTTTGTATGCACTCCATGGCTAACGACGACTTCCATACCAGGTCCTTGGATGCTGTGTAGCATTAGTGGGTCGACGTCGAATTTTTGAAGGCGCCTCACAGTGACATCAGAGTTTCCTGGTGCTTGGTTCTCGCCATTACGCGGCTTCCGTAGGCTACAGCTTCTCAGTCAGTACGTATCTTATCAATTAAAGTGAACGAGTCACCAACACATTACGTAGCAAAGTTGCGCTCCACAACTGCATGTGCTTGCGGATAGTGTCTCGAAGTGTAGCAGGTCAGTAATGCTACAAGCGATCGTCAAGGGAAGGCGTTAATGGAGCAGCGAGGGTAGCATTGTGTGGAGAATTCATATCGGCTAGCCGTGATTTTGACAGTTCGTGAAAAGTCCAGCGAGGTGAGAGAGCGACGGTCCGAGCTCTTGCCTTTCTCGGTCTTGTCAACAACGCCATAGTAATGGTGTAATCGCTCTAACATCAACATTTGAAAGTCTGAAGTGGTTGCGCGGCGAGAGTGCCAGTAATCAAGCAAACGCAACTGTGGAGAGCGGTAGATCAGTGAATGTATTAGTGGAGTACGCTACGTGGCTGTCCGTGTAAGATGTTGTAAAGTCGCTCAAGCGTATTCATAGACCACGTCGTCAACCATCCTTAGCTGTGTAAATACGCACAAACCCTTCATATAAACCGCGAAATGCCTATCTAGTTCCTGAAATCTAGATCAGAGCAGCAAAAAACACCAGTCGTCGTTACATACGACTCATGTCTAGAGACAGCTGCTTAAAGCCTAGGCCTTAGGCTCGACATTGACGTCCTCGACACCGTGACGGGCAACCTTCATATTGCCAGCTTCAATATCGCGAGTAACACGGTCAAGACGAGACTCAACCTTGCCCGCCTTCCAGGCAGGGAGACCAGAGTCGAAGACGTCATCCATCTCCTCAAGAGTCTTGCCCTTGGTCTCCGGAGCGGTCAGGAACATGTGAATGAAGGCAACGGCGTTGAAGGTACCGAAGATCATGTACATCTTCCAGTTGATGGACCATAGAAGAGGAGGAACGGCGAAAGCGAGAATGCAGTTCCAGGTCCAGTTGGCAGCAGTAGCGAGAGAGACAGCCTTCGCACGGACCTTGGCGGGAAAGATCTCAGACGGGTAAGTCCATGAGGTAGGACCCCAGGTAGTCGCGAAGGTGGCGACGAAGAGGTATGAGCAAGCGACAATGCCCTTGGAGACGGCGCTGTGCTCACGGGGAACAACCCATGAGATGTCACGGTCAGTAGTGTCTGGATTAGGGTTGCCGTAAGAAGCTTGGAGGGCACCGGTGGTGTAGAGCCAGACAGCCATCATAAATGATCCACAAAGCAAAGCTGGACGACGACCAAACTTATCGAGGTAGAGGATAGCTGGCAAGGTCATGGCGACGTTGATGATGTACTGGATCGAGGCGGTGAGAAGTTCGTCGGCGATACCAGCTCCACGCATGATGAAGACGATGTAGTACCTTTGAGTTTGTCAGTACGTACCGTATGAATAATTAGTGCAAAGGGCTAACGTACATCATGATGTTCATGCCGCAAAGTTGAGACCACATTTGGATGGACATGCCAAGGACGACACGCTTGACAATGCGGGGCTTTACCAGGGCAGCGAAACTAGTCTCGGCAACTTCACGCTCAAAGGCGAGGGCCTCTTCGATTTCCTTGTATTCAGCGAGGACCTTGGGGTGGTTGACGTTACCGTCACCGTGAAGGTTGGCGAGAACTTGGAGGGCCTCCTCCCACCGGTCCTTGGACGCGAGCCATCGAGGAGAGCGAGGGAAGAAGAAGAAGCCGACGAAGAGAATAGCACCGGGAACAGCCTGAATACCCCATGGGATCCTGAAAGCCGAAGTGCTCTGGTTGGGGTTGTTGACTCCACCATCGACGAAAGAGCAGCCGTACTGGATGAAGTATTGGATCAGGATACCCCAAGTGATGGCCTATACGGAGTTAATGTACATCTTATAGACGTCTTGAGTATCTACGTACCCATTGTTGCAGTGAGACCACACGTCCTCGAATCTCCTTGGGAGCGATTTCTGCTTGGTAGACAGGAACGATGGCCGAGCAGATACCAATAGCGTAACCGCCAACAGCACGGCCGACACAGAGAAGAGCGACGCCGTTGGCGGCGGCCTGGAAGACAGCGCCAACAATCCAGATGAGCGCGGCGATCTGAACAGCGTTCCTACGCGACAGGCGATCGGCAAGGAAGGACGAGGACAGGGCACCGACAAGAGAACCCGCTGGCATCGACGCCGTAATACCACCTTGGCGAGTACCGCTGGGATTACCGAAGTAGTTCTTGTAAGCTGGGGTACCCAATGCGCCCGACATCGACGAGATGTCGAAACCAAAGAGGATACCACCAAGGGCGGCAAAGCCGCAAATGGCGTAGACGTTGTAGATCTGTGGAAACTGTAGAGGCATTGTCAGCGGGCGTACTTAGAAGCCATCAGAGCTTGCAAACTAACCTTCATCTTGCCAAGTGGTCGTGACCAGTATGGATTGACAAAGCTATGGGCCAGGTTAGAGGAGAGGAGAATCAAGAGGAGACAGGGTGTTGGTTTTATAATTCCAAGAGCACAAACGGGCGCGTGATCCTGATCGAGTGTAGTCTGTGCAGGATGACTAGGTTTTGATATTCACTGTTGCGCTCTCTGCCGCCCGCTGGTAGCCTTAGCGACGACAGGCCGGGTTCTCTGCATGTGAGAGCATTGTGACCCCGCAAACGAGCGTTGTTCAGGGCGTGTGCAGATCCTACAGGAAACCGGTAAGATATCCTGGGGTAGTGCTTGGTTGGCCGGCCCCCAGGGTGGTGTGCATAACGGCGTCCAATAGGAATAGATATCGAGACGGCATTGCTGTCCAGCACACTGGCACCGTGTACTCCGGTCCCATAGGGTTGCACCAGCAAAGCTTCGAAGGAGTGATGGACAGTCATGCTGTGAAACAACACCCGCTCTGATAGGTGTACCACGCCGCGGGTGCAGAAACAGGGACACGAGATTCGGTATCGCCAATTTCATTGTCACTTACCATGTTGGGGATTGAAAAATTTCGCAGACCATGAGCTCCGGCATCGAACCACTCTCAGAGCCATGTCTTCGGTTAGGCTATGTCCAGAGGCTCGAAACTACACGCGCCCCACGCAGTTTTCGTGATTGCCATGGACATCAAATGTAAAGATAGTCCGAAGCGCGCATCCTGCGCTGGGCTCCAAGTCTGGGCGGAGGCGCGGCATTGCATGATCATTTCATGACCCAAGTGAACATGGCATCCTGAAGACGTAATAGCCAAGTCATCGTCGGTTATCCAAAATACTTGCTGGGCTATTTGTGTGTTTGTTTCTCACAGTTTTGACAATAACCTTGACGACAGAACGTGTTTGGTGTGTTAAAATCTTCTAGATGAGACGGTAAGAGAGGATGGAGGGTCGCGATCGACCTAGGGGGCGGGAGGCGCCAAGTGTGCAGCGGCAGCGCCAACCCGTTGCAACCCCAACCCTCGGCTGGCTTTGTTCCGCACTAGAACAGCCAACAACAGCTAGCACACTGACAAGAGCATGCAGGATGGCTGAGGCGTATTTCGGTAGCGATTATCCACAGGAACAGAGCGCGTCGAGTACTGCTTCCAGCGACACAGCCGACAAGGTCTTCCGCAAACCAGCCACGAATGCAAGTCGCTGACAGGTGTGCGTGGCATCTCGGTTCCATAGGTAGATGGTGGCGACACCAACATCGACTTCAGAGAGCTTGTGTTCCAGGATGCGGGGTTCGGTAAGGATTGATGGAGGTTTACCTGCATCTCCAGGGTTCCTAAGTGTCGCCGAGATCATCGCGCAGATGATCATGAACGACTTCAAGCTGCGAGACCGAGACCGAAAGCGGTGTCCAGAGAGCGGCATTTTCTACACAAGATGGTGAGATCCGGCAATCAGAATCTGGTTTCCTTACGTCTCAGCCGTTGCAAGACGTACGACACGCCATCGCCGCACGAGCATGCTTTTTTCGGAAGCAGTTTGCGTCGGTGAGATCTCAGCACCTTTTGTATATGTCCGGGCGTTCTCCCAATGTTACTACTCTTCCTTAGATCTGACAGGCTGCCGGTTCAGCCAGATAGAGTCGCGATTTATACTGTTTGGTTCTAAAAAGCTTTTCACTTCTCGGCCCACGCTGCAAGACCCTATAAGGCGAGTAAGAGTCGGGGAGTCACGGAGCCAGAGATGACTAGGCGAATCGTGTATACAGGTCGCGGAGTGCAACTGGCGGTCGACGGTTCACTGGTGTCTTAGTTGGGTCATAGAGGTTTGCTACGAACTGCACAACCTGTGCTACTGTTTAGTACATTGGCGCAGTGCGATGATAAGCTCACCTTCACCGGTCATCCTAACGTGGGTTGCGAATACATTTCCTAGTATCTGAGAGGTCCAGGTCTAAGTGAAGAGAGGAGAAGAAGACAAATTGGACTTCGGTTGTCTGTTCGGGAGACTCGGAAAGTGGATCACAACCACGGATAGCACAGCATACGGCCAACGTTCACTAACAGGAAACATAACTTCACTCTGGAAATCCGAGCGCAGGCTCTTATTATAATTTGAATATGGGACGGCACGGGTTGGTGATGCGTCACATCCAATGGGATATCTCGCAAAACCTCGCCCGATTCGGCATAGGCATATATCATTCAGCTGTTCTTGGGCTCAACGGGCCTCCAAGCACAAAAAAGTAGGTTGTTTTATTCATCCTATGACTGATGCGAACCATTCATGTCACAAAGAAGATATTTTGTTCCCGGCGCTGCTCATCGGAAAGACTCCAGATCCATAGGACACGCGATACAGGCCAAGTCAGGAACATCCACGCTGCGCTGTTGTAGCTGTCTATTGGTACGTCACATGCAAAATCTCCACACGAATCTGGACTGTCTGTCTACCCCTTTGGTCAGTTCTCGGTATCCTGATAGCATCCTCCAACTTCCGCCTTCTTCGGTTACTTATGCTTCCGCGTCGTCGGTTTTACAAATCCAGAATCTTGCTCCGAATACATCCCTTAAGTTTGCATATTCGCCTTCTACTGTCTCCACGCTCATCTCTCGAAAAAGCAACTAGACCACCTCTCAGCTGCCAACCTTGAGCTTTTGGTCTCTCATTCGCTGCGCGTTGACTGCAAGCGAACCAGTAGCACCGCACTACCGCCCACCACCTCCCAATCGCAACGCGCATCACAGCATTGCATACTTATAGCTCCATCACAGACCAACATCATCTTGGAACGCGATGTCCTCGGGTCGCACCGCACCCAAATTTTATCCTTATCTTCCTAGTTAGGCCTTGACCACCGGGCTGGTGGAGATGCTGAAGTGATACTCGTGCATGAGACCGCGTGGGCGGACCTGCTGACGCGTGCAGCTGCCCTCGCTATATACATGACGAGATGATATATATCTCCAAGTACTCATGAGTATGTACTGCGCATCATCTTCACGATCACAGCAATTCCCCTGTGAGAATCAGACCGCACATCCGACGCTGAACCGCCACCTTTCCTGTCGTCTTCTTGGGCTTACTGTGGCAAGCCGCGCAAATCTGTCAGCACTTGCATAACGGACCGCAGCTCGTGCTAGTCTCACCAATCGCCACGACATTTTGTATCACTGGTTGTCTACACCGGCACACTGCAGCCATCCTGCGTCTGAAATTTCAGCCTGTTGGTGGTCTGGAGAGGCAAACAACAAGTCTGCATCGCGCACTTCTATATTAGGAAGTAGACGTGGGGTTCTCAGCTGGTATCGCCGTAACCAGGATCCCTCAGTGGAAACGTGCATGGGCGGTGAATCACACCGTACATTGGTCTGCAAAGATTGGAGAAAGAGAAGGCAAAAGCTTCGTTGCAGAGGTCATCTTGACATATCATACGAATATAATGACCCATGAGCGACGTATCATCTAGTACACCACGAAGTATTTTTCCCTTGGCATCTTTACGGTCTTCTTCGCCTCCTTTTCCATTGTCGATACCAACACAGCAACATACCTTACAAGCCGAATACACTCTCGGTATAGGAGCCCTGGTGCCACCATGCCGCACCACATCACCAACTGCGTGTTTGCTCGGACAAGTCTGACAACTTGCGACGTCTTTGTCATGGCGTTAGCACACTTGGGTCCAGGAGCAGCGCTATCACCAGAAGAATTTATAGCGGCTGCAAGTCCATGGTTCCTCGACGCCGAGACGGTTTGGTGGCGCAAGTTCCTCAACGGCACAGGATGAGAATCACATCGTCGCCTTACGATCAGAAAACAGACTACCAAAGAGCAAGACTGGCTAGAAGACTTCAAAGGTGGCCACGGCTGATTGGCATATTAGAGGAACAATCAGGGACTGATATATGAAGCGATTTCTCTTATTATCCGGCATGGCTTAGAACCTTTACTCCTGGAACGTAACCAGGTCTAGTAGGGTGCCTTCAATACAGCATGCACATACGTCTTGGTACAATCAGTCGCATTGCCCCTCCAGCTCAACACCTGATCCAAGTCACCTTCGCAAATCGTCCAACCCTCTCTTTGGCCATCCACGGTCAGAAGGTATCCTTCGTCCAGGGCAATATTACCCGCAGGCTGCACTGAGGCAAGGAACTGTAGCTCCGATCCACTCGTCACAACAGTGCTGTTGAATTGTTTGTACTCGGTGGTGCTGAAGGGTGCTAGGGCGATGGTGGATAGTGTCCCGTCTGCCAGGGTGAAGTTGGGGAGGGAGCCATAACCGGGGCCTGTTAGGCGGAGAAGGAGGGCGGGTTGGTGGAAAGGGTCCTGGATGGTTGTTAGATAAAAAGATGCTGTGGTTCGTGGGTTTGGCACAAGAGCTTACGAATAGTGAAGTGGCGGAGACGGCTTTGAGTTCAGAAGTGTTCGCACTTGGGTCTATTTGCGATGTGGTGACGAGCAGGAAGTTGGTGAGATTTGTAGGCAGCGCTGTGCATAGAGATGCGCCTGCGATCGCGAAAGAAACGAGAGATGAAAACCGCATTTTCGACGTTTGAATGTGAGTTCAGCTGGCTGGATAGATGAATCTTTGGTAAAGCAGAACAAAGAAGGCACGACAATAACAGACGACAAAGTCAAGGGCGTGAACGATAAGTTTCGAAACAAAATCCAGCAGCGTCCCGCCCAAGCTACTATATACCTGCAACGAAGCCCTGCATACCCACGATGTTGGGACCGGTGCGCACAACGATGATCCAAGTCCCACCAAGAATGCCATCATAATAGGCCATGCGATTAAGCAGCACGCGTAAGAGTAGCCTAACGTGCCTGCTACTTCGTTCTAAAACACGTTCAGCCACCCAATTGCGCGCCCGACCCTGCCGATCGCCCATGTCACCCCTGCATACAGGTCGATGATCAGTTATCGACCGTCGGACGAACAGGACTAGGATAACGTGAAACTTAGGATACACAGCTCACCAACGCTCTCCATCTCCCTGGTCAGTCAAGTCGTACGAGGGATAGTCATTCGAGCCACGGCGTACTTCTGTATTTCATGTATGAGCAAACAATATGGTTTGTTCATGCTGGGACAATGCACGTTGTCTGGGTTTGGAGTCGGAGGCGGGTGGCTGAAAGTCAATTGTGGGGATCTCCACTGCGTCATCGCTGGATACCGTACTTAGCCTAGTTTTACCGTGGGTCCACTTCATTTGTGGCGAAGCCTCAAGGCTTAATTATGGTGATCAAGTGCGCTTGTGTTGATGAGTACTATAGACGTAGTCGGTACCATATCTTGGGTTGAATATAGTCTAGGATGGACCAAGAAACAACGCCCCTTACCAGAGGCAGCGCGACGTATGAGTCGAAGGATGAATCAAAGGATGAATCAAAGGAGAGCAAGTGAGGGGTGTAGCATGCACGTATTGTGTTTAGTTTGCTACTACTAATAATCATACAGAGTGCTCGACTGAAAGTTGGGTATGCCGAGCGCCCGCCAACGCCATAGTAAATGCCTGTTTGAATGAATCGTGACTTGTGTCTCCCATGATGCACACTACCCTAGCATCCTTATGCATGCCTCAACCCTTCCATCTAAGTAGAAGTTGCGATTGCACCGTCGCCTAGTACCCTCGCGACTAGAATATAGAGCATGACAGCTCCGAGAACGACCCTCCACTTATTGCGACTCAACCATCCTTGTTGTGCGTCTCGTGCTATCTGCGCCGCATCTTGGACGACCGTCGCGCTTGTTCCGGGGCGTCGTCGCAGTCCGGAGACGTCTGGTGAGCAGGCGGGCTGCTGTGAGGGGGTAGATGCAGGTCGCGGCAGACCGGTGAGGGGGTCGATACGGTTGTCCTTCATCCACTTGAGGTTCTCCTCGTCGACATCCGGCCATTCATGCCTAAACTTTGCGCCGCCATCTCCAGCCCGGATGTTGCCGTTCTGGCGGCCACCAGCGTTGTCCGAGCCAGTCGCCTTGCTGCCGCCGCCTGTGCTGTTCCACCATCGGGTGCGCTGAGCGAAGAGTTTCCGCTCTGCCTCTGATGCGCGGACGCTGCCAGTGGTGATCTCATCGCTCGTCATGAAACTCAGCAGGCCTGTCAGAATCGTGCTGACCTCCCAGGCGGGGTTGAAGCTCTTGGGATGGAAGTCGGATATACTCAGACATAGTCGGCTGCTGGGCTGGAAACGGCCAGATGGAGTGTGCATGCGGATGGCGGGCGGGGCAAAGGGGTAGTCGGGCGGGAAGTTGAGGGTGCCCCAGTACTGGCCGCCATGGTAGGGCGTGTCTGGCGGGCCGGTGATGATGTAGTGCCATTCGAGGATGTTCCTATCCGAAGGGTGCGCAGTAATGTATGGTGGCGGTGATTTGGAGATGGAAGCGTACTCCCTTGTGAGGCGCTTGGTGGCTGCCGGTGTCGCCATGTTGTGTGGTTGTGTGTGTGGGTAAGAAGAGGTGATGGTAGGTAGACGTGTTCTCGGGCGGAGATAGTTGACGTCGACTATCGGATGCGCTGTGAGTTGGCGGCCAGGGAAGAGGGCAGGCAGTGTCGAGGGAATATTTGAATTTACCCCTCAGTCTGTGAAAAACAAAACGACGACAAAGGCAGGCGCAATAGGTGAAATCGAATTTGGGTGAAAGGGAGTTTGTATCGCACCCAGGTCGGAACCACAGTTGGAGAGCAGCGCACGTGCATCCGCCGCCCGCGACGATTCCGAGTTCAAGGTTTCTGAGCCACGCCAAGCATCACGCACGAAGACACCAACAGCCCAATGGCGTCGCCGCATGAAGACGATGTAAGCAGTTTTGTTGCGTCCTGGGGGTGATGCATCGCTAATTGGCCCACAAGGTCTTCGAAAGGCTCAAGAACAAGACGGATCTGAAGGAGCAGAAGCGTCAACAGGATGAGCTCAATGCGCGGCTGTACGCACAGCAGCAGAGGTCGCAGGAGCGCCTCGGAGAGCTGGTATGCATCCCACGTGTGCAATTGGGCCTGCTGCTAAGCCTGTGCTAGATTGAAGATAACTCCTCCCTGCCCGTGACGATATCGTCGGTTCGCATCCTCCACGCCAACCGCACACGAAGAAGCTTCCTCGAGCGAGTAGTCAACCCCCTCCTGAGCGCAAACCGGGAAGAGCCATACACGCTCGAAGATGCGATAAAGGAAGTTGGAGAAGCTACCGAAAAGCTCAACCGTTTTGGTACGTTGACACGCGACTGAGGAGGGGCTCGCTCGCATTTGGCTAACGCCGACTAGGTATCTTCAAGTCACCAATATCAGTCTATCTCGATCGCCCGAACCAGACCATTGCCTCTTCTTCCCCTACCGATGTCGATGTCTACATTTCGGCCGTCGAGCGCGGCAACTACACCATCAAGACTGGAACCGAAGCTGGAGCCTCTGAGGCCGATGCCTATGTCCACGCCGAACTTCGGAATCTGCTTGGTGGAGCAGAGACGCTGAACGCACACGGATCGCTCGGTACGCGAACACGATCAGCCTATTCGCTTGCCTTCGACAGTCCCATCCTCAGCAACCCCAACCTCAAGTTCCAGGTCAACGGCTTCGCGAGTTCAACGCTGAAGAGCTGGGCAAGCCACGAGGAAGTTCTCAAGGGTGGCAACTCCAAGCTGCTATGGAGGATGAAGAATGGCGCCACACATGAGTTCGGTTACTCGGGCATCTGGCGACAGGTGACCAGTCTGGCTGAGAACGCATCGCCCTCTGTCCGCGCAGACGCTGGTGACACTTTCAAGTCCAGCATCTCGCATACCTGGATCAATGACAAGCGCGACTACCCTCTTCTCCCGAACAGCGGCTACTTCTTCAAGACTGTGTCCGAACTCGCAGGTTGGGGCCCATTGAAGGGCGACACAGCATTCTGGAAATCAGAGGCAGAGTCGCAAGTCGCCCTCCCCTTTGGCGACACAGGCATCACGCTTACCGCTGGTCTGCGAGGTGGTCTTCTGTACCCCATGACACTGGGTGGAGGAAGCCAACCCCAGGCTTCGCGCATTAACGACCGCTTCCAGCTCGGTGGTCCCAACAACGTACGCGGGTTCCGCATTGCTGGCCTCGGCCCTCGTGACGGTGCCGATGCGCTCGGTGGTGACATCTACGCAGCTGGTGGCGCGTCGCTCCTCCTCCCCATCCCACGCGTCGGCAAGGAGACACCTCTCCGTCTCCAAGCCTTCATCAACGGTGGCCGCCTCCTTGCCCTCAAGAACCCCAACTCCAAGAAGGAGGACGGATCTTTCAGCAGCTCAAGCGATGTAACAGGCGCCATCCAAAAGTCCTTCTCTAGCCTCACTTCCGAACTTCCCAGCTGTGCAGCCGGTCTAGGACTCGTCTACGCACACCCCGTTGCGAGGTTCGAAATCAACTTTTCTCTCCCACTAGTCATGAGGGCCAAGGAGGAAGGCAGGAAAGGATTGAGCTTCGGTGTTGGCATCGAGTTCTTGTAAATGCCAGAGCTAGGTGTGTAAACGTGTATTTGTAGGCCCTATAGACTTCTTCTCGAGCAAGCAGATCCACTTTGTTTCCATTCATCATCAAACATCTAACAGCTGGCTTCTAACTTCCCACCAATTGCGGCCCCTCGAATACCTTGTTCGGATCATAAGCCCCCTTGATCCCCGCCAGCCTCTCATAATGCTCTCCCCAGTACCGTGAGTGTGCCTCGGTGTTTGTGAGATTTGTATCAGCGTAATTGATGTACATGCCAAACTTCTCCCCTTTACTAGCCTTCTCGATCGCCTCAACCCAGCCATTCAAAAAGTCCATCATCTCCGGCTTGTACGTCGCGCTATCCGGCCAGATGCGGTCGTTAAACTGCATTTTGAACACGGTTTTGCGATGCGAGTACGATGTCGAATCAGCTGGTACAGAGGAGATAGCTGACCCTTCTCCACCGTGCATGTCGATGAGCAAGTACCAAGTGCGGTTGCGAATGTTACGCGCAGTTGTAAAATAGTAGTCTGCCAGCGCCGTCATCGCAGCGGGAGATAGTTCCTCGGGCATGAGTGACTTGGCGTAAAAGTTCTCATGGTAGTCGTAGATTTCTGGTTGGGGCAATGGGCCGTTGGAGAAGGATGTTAGGGTGTCGATCCATTTCTTTGTTGATACCGTGCCTGCGCCACGCCCGGAAAGCGGGATGTTGAGCTTGGTGAGCAGTGGGTTCATGATTGTGTCGAAAGACGTGCGGTTGCCGTAGTACACACCGGTCAACTGATTGGGGAGAAACATGCGCATGTTGAGCTCGGCGGGTTGGTTGTGCATTGTGAAATCTTGGAGGACAGTGAGGATGTTGGCTAGTTGGGAAGTGTTACTTGGGGAGAGGCTGTAGGAGAAGACGAGATTGCTCTCAGGGGCGTTGAAGGTCTTGAATTTGAAATCGGTGACGATGCCGAAGGCGGCGCCGGCGCCTCGGAGGGCCCAGAAGAGGTCGGGGTTGGATGATGGTGAGGCGGTTACTACACTGCTGTTGGAGAGGACAACAGTTGCTGAGACGAGCTGGTCGAGGGTTAAGCCGTGCAGGCGCGATGATAGACCATAGCCACCGTGAAGTGTAAGTCCTCCTACGCCGACACTGGGAGTTGTCAGTTAAGGTTACTGTCGTCACAAGGGATGAGGGCCTACCCAGGACATGTTCCATGACTGATGGCTTGTTTGCCTTGATCGTACAGTGCTAGAGCAATGTTTCCCAGTCTACCACCAGCTCCTACAACAGCTGTGTGTGCTGCTTGATCAACCGTTACGCTGTTGAAGCGTCGCATATCGACTATCAAATGACCATTCTCCCCTCCAAGACCATGTGCTCCGTAGCTGTGGCCTCCACATTTTGCAGTGACTTTAACGCTGCTCGCGACACCGCAAGATACAGCGTCCTGGACTTGCTTGACGGTTTGCGGTACAGCGTAGGAGGCCGGTACGAAAGGTAAACGAAGGTTGAAAGGCTTCACGGCTTGAGTATAGTTCTTGGTGCCTGCGGCATATACAGGAACCTGTCGAGACTCAAGACATTCGCTCAATGTCGCATTTGCGGCAGTAGTACAAGAAAAGAGAGTAGCGGCCGCAAAGAGCCATGTGTAGTAGTGCGTCATCATCTTGAAGATAAAAAGATGGCTTGGCTGCCTAGGACAAATTCATCCGCCAACATACTCGCGCTACTTAAGCATTGCTTGAATCCTAGAGGTGGATTCTGGTGATGATGAGAGAACATATTGACCCAATACACTACGGCTGAAGAGAAAGAAAAACATGAGACCAGGAGTTATCACTGCGATGAAAGGACTGGACCTGCCCAGCGAAAACCTTGTACTTCTGTTGGATCCTCCATTGGCATCGTGGAGATGCCGTGTTCCTGTCGATGCTTGTAATAACAGATCTTGCCTGTATCGCAAAAAGGACTATGAGCTACGGCAAATGTAAGGAACCGTGGCTTCAGTTTTATTTCGCTCTTGGCAAACATTGGTCGCAGAAAGATTAAGAGATGCCTCCTCGTCTATATCCAGGCACGTGTGCTGCTGCGACGTAGCCGCGTTCATGTACCGGCGCATGTCAGCGGCGTGGCAGTTACGTTCCCGGTAGACGGCAGGCCAAGAGATCTTAACATGTGTGTGTGCGAGATGAAAGACCGAAATGCAAGGCCTCTGTAATTTCTCCATGTTGATCAAGCTGGGGTCGGCAACCGGGTGAAACGTCATACCCCTGCTCGAAACATGGCTCCATATTGCGATATATTGTCCGACGTGTACCCTTTAACCGGCTTGGAAAAACATACACACCGAGGCTGAAATGCCAGCCTGCGCTTTCAGCGAAACGCATGACGAGGGCGGTTGTTTAGTCCAAGAGGGTGTAGTCAGGTGTTTCATCGTGGTAGCCTCCGAAATGTAGATCGCGTGCGCGTGACACTAAGGCAAAATAGTGGAAATATCCAAGAGCACGAGACGAACGTACAAAACGATGCTACGTCCTTGTATTTGAGGTGTACCAACAGAACAATCCTGACTCGTCACTCAGACCCGCCATGCTCACTTCACATTCTCTCCTTCTACCGCTTTTCGGTAGTGCCGCAAGTGCGGCGAACCTGTGGGCGACTCACTACTCGGGCACGATCAACTACCTGTCGTTCGAAAACAATGCCTTGACTCTAAGCAAATCGAGCCCCACAGGAAACAACTTGCCTAGTTGGATTACGTACGACAATGCCGGGAAAGCGCTGTACATTCCGGACGAGGTCTTCTACGGGGCGAGTGGAGGAAACTTGGTCTCTTTCGCCGTTGGTAACAACGGCACTGTAACCGCAGGAGGGAAGGGTTCTACGCCTCTCGGTGTTGTTGCGACAGCGCTATATGGCGGTGCAGATGGAAGGAGCTTCATCGCAAACGCTCACTAGTAAGCCAGCATCCTCCGGTAGACACCATTGGTGCTAACTGATCGACAGCCAATCTTCGCAATTGACAACCTTCAAATTGCCGTTGACCGGAGGACAGCCGCTTCAAACAATCAAGTACACTGGAAAAGGCGTGAACCCTTCTCGACAAGAAGCTCCCCACCCGCATCATGCCTTTGTGGACCCATCTGGCGACTTCTTGGTAGTACCTGACCTTGGAACTGATCAGATTCGGATCCACAAGATCGACCAGAACTCCGGAAAGCTTACAGAGTGCGCTTCTGCGAAGCCGCCTCCTGGCACAGGACCACGACACGGTGCCTTCTGGACACCATCGGCAGCTAACTCGCGCGTTCGTCGAGCAGCTGAAGGTACCACTCTCTTCATCGCCAATGAGCTTTCCAACAGCGTGTCATCATGGGCAGTGTCATACCCCTCATCAGGAGACTGCATGTCTCTGACTCTGAAGCAAACCCTGACGCCGTACCAAGGCAACGCCACCGCCGTTCGCGGTACCAAGGTCGGTGAGGTCAAGGTCAAGGGTAACTTCGTCTACATCACAAACCGAAATGACAAGAAGTTCAACGGCAACGACTCGCTTACCCAATACACCATCTCTCCCAACGGATCCCTCACATGGACAGCCAACACGTCTTCTTATGGCACGTACCCACGTACTTTTGACATCAACAAGGCTGGTGATTTCGTAGCCATTGGCGATCAGACCACTTCGAACGTAGCTATCGTACCCAGAGATCCAAAGACTGGTAAATTGGGAGAGCGCGTTGCGGATCTTCGGATTGGCGCTGCAGGCATTCCGGAGAACGAGGACGGCCTCAGCGCTGTTGTCTGGGCCGAATAGACGTCCGCTTGCTGTTTATTAGATTTCACTGTAGATAAAATTGATTGGGGTTTTTGAGGTTGCGCATACGCACGAACCGCTGATGTCCCCATTTGAGAGTGTTGTCCATCTTTGATGCCGAGTTGTGAAGAGCACGCCTCGAGTGCGCACCAGGTGCGTGACGCGCCAAGACGCTAAAGTCGCGCTCCTCGTCCCACGCGTCGAGACTCACATGATCACTCTTCGCGCATGACACAGACATCTAATGCGAAAGTTGTGGTTATCCGCGAGCTGTGGCAGAAGGAAGCGATAGAGTGGACATATTTCCTCCCACCAAGACAATTAACAACTGGCTTGAATTATACTCAGAAGATTTCTGCTATACTGCATCGCGATCAGCTGCTGGCGCCATTCCTCCAGCCAAATCTGCATCCTGCTTCTGGTACTTCTGTGGTAGCGGCCTTGACGAGATCAACGCACCAACACCGCCCTCTCTCGCCCGTCTAACCATCGAGAAGCAACTCGGCAGGCTTATACAAATCGACGCAACGCTCATCTCAACATGAAGCCAGATGAGGACATCAACAAAGTACCCTATCGCATTCATTAGTCTTTCTCTCTTCTTTTCAAGCCAAAGACAGTACTTACACGTCAAATCACTCTCCAACCCCCGCTCAATCTTCGCAACGGTAATCAGCCTCCCCACGCTCAGAAAAATGACACTATACCCTAGCACAAAAGTGCCTAGCAGCATTACTTTTCTCTGCATACTCAAATGTAGTTTCCAGATTATCGGCAGCGGCATAATTAACGCGATTAAATCCAGCACTACACTGGGCACCACGGATCCCAGTTGAATGTTGAGTGTTGGCATGCACTTCGCTCCTTCTATTCCCTTATCCCAAAAAGCTGAGACGGGTGTACATTCGAATGCGGCCGCTAGATTGAGGCCCACAAGCCAGATGACATTGAGTAACGTGTTGGCATGGACTTGGTACCTGAAATTCGGGCATGCGACGCTAAAGAGGCGGTGGTAGAAGAGTCCGACACTGATGCGGATCAATGCCATGGCGGCAGTGTAGGTTAAGTATCCGGCATACAGGACTTGCAAGCTGAAGGTCATATTGGCCGGAGGCACGGAGGTTATGTGCAGGCCGAAACCGTGGTGGAGGAGGAGGCCTGTTTGGACGGAGATTGCTAGGACGAATGGCTGGGTGACTTAGCGCATGAGGGAGAAGTGAAGGAGAGGTTGGGAGAATACCCATGCTGCTGCTGCCGTCCAGTCGTCGCTCCGGAATCCGCTGGCGTGGAGGGAGCGCGACCAGAAGCGTAGGAGGAGGACTAGAAACGTGGTGCAGGCTGAGACTACTGAGAGAATGTATACTGCTTGCCCTTTGTGCTCAGGATACATCACGATTACGCCAGATTGGCTGGCGTTATGATGCGTTACCGGAATCATGCTGATATATCTAGCTGCAATGGAAGTCGCGAAGTGTGATGCGAAGGTTTTCGGGCGCCGGAGGCCTCTGTGAATGACGGCGCTATCATGTTGGGGTGTTTGCACCTAGATGTATATACATACAGTTGGAGGCCGTACGTTACACGTCTACCCTACACAGCTGGAGTTTGGTCTTTGGGGGCTGCTTGCACGCACGTTCATTGGTGCACTGCTATAACGATACAGTCAGCCTTGCATAGAGTAGGCGCTGTCGCCCTACCACTCGGTTATATCATTGGCTACTCACGAGCCTGGAAATCGTAGATCCATCGCCGTTTCAACTAATGAGAGTTGGCCCAAGATTAGCCCATACCTGCTGCTACCACAGGCGAGAGAAAGCTACAGAACACAACAGCCTGCGAGGTCCTTTTGATAACGCTAGGCAACTGCTGCTAATGGAGTATCAATACGGTCTTCGAACTGATACAGATAACGTTGAATAAGTCTTCACCGCCGACACGCTCTCATCGTCCTCACTAGTAACCTTGAAGCTCATAGTGGCTTCCAAAGTTCTTTGGAACATCCGACCTCATAGCCAACAGCCATCTTGACAGCCCTCTGTTTCCCAGTCTTCGCGTACGCCAATGAATTCGGTATAGCATCCTCCCACTCGAATGAAAGATGAGAAGCGAACAACAGCTGTAGCGTCATGGCCCTGTTATCGATGTGTGTTCTATATGGCATCTGTGGATATTAAGCATATTTTTGGACTGATGACAGGAGTGAGTGGGACTGTGCCAAGGTTTGGCATCTAGTTGACGAGGTTCTGATGCTGCGCAAGATGATGAGCGACAGCTGATTTGAGGTGCCGCCTGTACGATGATGGTAAGTCATCCCTAGAAACCCTGTGAACTCTCACGTGCTGTAGCAAGCACAGTGGCGATATCATTCGCCTGATAGCAAGCAAATGAAGCGTCTCATGCATATAGGTACGTCCAGTCCTTGAACAGGCTTTTAACAGTCAATTCAAGTACGATGGACAGGACTTACCCAATCCAATTTACTGACAGTGTCGCTGCGCTCCCTCCGACTGCCCCACGCAATCATGCTCATATGATCAACTTGGCCATCAAGAAAATTCCCAAGAATATTATGCTACAAGACGCTGTCGTCACATTACTCCATCAAACGTCATCCATGGCCCTCGATATGTTCCTCGCTAATACAAAAGCATTTCATGTGGGATACATACCCAAGAGCAATAATAGTGATGACTGTCTCGTCATCATGAGAAGAGGTGACAAGGTACTAGTAAGCCACGTCGAATCAAGAGGCGTGTAAATATACGTATCACTAACATAAAGCGCTTAGGTTGGCCAGTATTCCAAACACAAGACCTCAGCCTTACCAGCACTTGAATTTCAAAATCTTATACGCTACTCCATCGCCTCAGATGGCGCCTGGACAATCACAGACGCTACGTACAACGATTATTTTCGTCCAAGCTGGGAAGACGTTTGGGCGGGAAGGACAGTTGACATTGGTCCTGGAGATATCAATGGCAAGACTACAGATGAGGATCTGTTTATGAGGGATCTTTTGGCTTTGCAGGCTGCGCACCACATCTTGTCGCGCAAGTTCTGGGACGACAAGACATTCATCTACTCGGCCGTGTTTTAGGTGATCTTTGAACTTGGCTATCTTGTTGTAGCTATTGGATGTTTTGCCACATCTCGACTTCGGAGTTGGAAGGGTACTGTGTAATACAAAGTTCTCGAGGATAAACGTCGGTCTGATGCTGTGCTGAAAACTCTTACTTCGCAGTTGTATTATGTAGCATTGGGTATCGCATATCAAGAAGTGTATTGAACATTCCCTTCTCTGTTAGCCTATTACTATAGGGAAATATTAACTCCGCATTTCTTCGTCTTCACCTGATTCCGATTCTGAACTCAGTTCCTCTGATAAATTGTTCATCTCTTCCGGTTCGTCGCCGTCCTTTCTTCCATACCCAATCATCTTCCCTATGACATATTTGTCTTTCATTTCAGCAAGGTCCCAGCGTCTTTCCCAAGGACTCTTCTCGAGCAGAGCTATTGTCAAGTCCCGAAGGAACCTTCTAGAATATCCAATGCTCTCCCCATCCTTCAACCAGTGACCTTGTGCTGCTTGAGCGTACATTCGTACCAACACGAGCCTTATGATTGCCCCTTTAGTCGTGTTATCGTAGACAAGACGGACGTCGGATTGGTCGGGATAGATACGAGTTTCCTCAGTAATCTCTAGCAACGCCTCTAGGACACCTCGACAAAACATTCTGCTTTTGAGCTTGAGACCTAGCACATATGCTTCGATCAACTCGTGTAAGTCGGGTTCGGGTGTCTCATCTATCCCTTCGTCATCAGAGTTGTCGGAAAGGTCTTTGACAGCAATATGACCATGATACAACCATTCGATAAGCATCGAGAATGGTCCAGGGCTGATATCATGGTGTTGATGTACTGCGATTTCCTTGCTATCGCCGGGCCAGCCTTGGCGACAGAACGGGCAGTTGACTGGTTGGTTGGTTTCACGCTTCTCCGTGTTCCACTGCTTCGTACATTTGTAGTGAAAATTATGACCGCAACCATTAGCGCAGAAGGTGAGCTCGTTGATACCGGATTCAAGCTTTGCCTTGCAGATGGGACATTCTGTGTCCACACCGAAAGGTTTGCGCTTCGGCTGAAGGTTCTTTTGGAAGAATTTAGATCTTTTGCAAAGGAGGTCTTCAGGAATGGTGAACTCTTCGTGATCTGCAACCTCGATGCGCACAATTTTGCGACCATATCTGAGAAGCGTTTAGCGATTGGTATGCTGTTAATTCCAGAGGACCTACTTGATAGCAATCTTCTTTCGAACACTGACACGCTTCTCGGCATAGGCCATCTTCTCCAGGGGTCCTTTATTCGTTGCTGGAATTGCGTGGATTAGGTCTTTAGCGAATGTAAACTCAACTGTTGAGTGGGCAATATGAAGTGAAGAGTCAAGTAGCTAGAGGATGGGTAGTCATTTATCCTTCAGTGGCGCCGCAGTTCTTCGACGCACAAAGGTTCACGAATAAGGAACACAGCAAACATAAGAATGTTCTCGTTGCAGGCAAAGATATCGTTGTTAGAGTACAGAAGTGATCGATTGATGCTATAAAGGATTCTGACTATATAGCTAGTACGCTAGTGCGTATGGAAGGTACCAACAACAACATGAGATGGCTCTTCCTTCTTCAATCGTCAGTGATTAGCCAGGGAATATAACTCGTACACGCATGTGGTCGTTCAGGTGAAGGGTAGAAGACGTGACAAATGAGTTTCATTGCTTGACAGTTGAGTCGACTAGATGCCGGTAGAGATCATTGAACACGGTAGAATAGGTAGAGACTGTTGACAAAAAGAATCACATATAGGAAGGGAAAAACAAGCTAGTTCCTGCAATAACCACTCCCTGCACTCCTACTGAAAATGACGTGACTTTGTCGTCGCTCACGGGGTCCATCTCTATGTTGAGCCTTTTCATCCACCCCTTCTTCAATGTTTCGAGATCCTCCCTCCTGGCTTTCTTGAAGAAACTGGGCTTGACCCACTCACGCCTTAAGTCGATAATGAATTCTCGGATCTCATCGTCACACTTTCGCTCTACAAAAGCCCACTCCAAAACGTACTCCATAACGTCATCCAAAGCCGTCCAGCTGAAAGGAGCTTCTGCAAAGTAAATAATGATGACTTTGGCTTTGAAGGACGGGTCTTCAACAGCGTTGGCCATAGTCCAGAGTTTGAGCATCACTAGACTGAAAGTACCATTGCTATAGGCAATCTGAGAAGGTATGCTCAGAGTGGAGGTGTAAATCCAGTCTAGATAAGTCTGAACAGCCTCAGGATCCAGGTCAGACTTCAGGTCTAAATGATTGAGCAGCGGATCGTTCTTCCAGCTAGCTCGACACATCGGGCATGTCGGTGCAGAATCTTTGTTAACGCCGGTAGTGGATTTGCGTTTCCAAGTTTCGATGCAGACTTCGTGGACGTTTTGTCCGCACTCGATGCAGAAAGATATATCTTTTACCGTAGCGTCCAAGGTCTCGTGGCAGACACAACACTCATCAATGCTGGCGATGGGCTTCCGATGTTTCTGGAGGCAGTCTTTGAAGAATCGAGAGGTGCTACATATGAGATCTAGAAAGTACGCACAGTGTCAGTATAGACGTCTGCCAAAACAGATGTGGGTAGTTGATACCTTCATGCACGGTGAAACGGCGGTCCAGGTTAGGTATCTTGAAGCGGACGATCCTGTTGCCTATGCTGCACTACGTTAACATATTACACTTGCCTGTGTGAAGGGTTGAGCGGCATACTTTACTGGTCCCAGCTTCTTAGTCGCTCCTTGAGATTCAGTGGTCGCCATGCTGACAGATGATGATGTTGGGTATTGAGAGTGCTATGGATTGAAGGGAGTAGAAGATATAGCCCTAGGAGAAGTAGATAAGACACTGGAAGGTGAGACTTAGGCCAGATGTTTGTGATCTAGAGGCGGTGGATAGTGAGACAAGGTGAGACCCAGAAAGACATGGTCTTAGGAAGTGCCAGATGAGGGATAAGAGCGTGTACGAAACAACCAAATGGGTATATTTTGCTCTTTACCTTAGCCAGTTTTCGACTTCAGGTATGGTATCTGTTCTAAGTTACGTAGCCTAACACTTTACCTTTAGGCGATATCACTGCGTGGCCAGTGCTCAACACAACGGACCCCGCGTTCGCAGAGGGTGTTGCCAGGAAATATTTCTTATACGCCGACATACCACAACTCAACACCCATGACCTCGAATTTCTTGCCATCGTCGCTCAATGGCTCGTTGCCAAACGTAGGGCAGGTGTCCGAGACGCCATTCTCGAGGTTGTCGTCTAGCCATAGACCGTAATGACCGTCCCTGTGATGCTGTTAGTCGTGTGAATCCTGGAGTATTGGTCACGTCTACTTACCCGCCACCAACACTCAGATAGCTGTGTTCGCAGAAGATCATGTAGTCATTCACCCCACTATATGGGAATGCCTTGAATCTTATCCTTTCTGGCGTGCTCGCACCGCTCTTAGTGGCCCGACCATTCTGTGGCGGCGCTAACGAATCGCCCTTTCTCTTCGGCGAGGATATGGTAGTCATTCGCACAGCGTCTGTTGTGTCTTCAGACGGTGGGGGTGGGAGGTTCATCTGCAGGTCAGAGAAACCATGGAGTATGTGCGCGCGCCACAGGAAGCATTCACCGTTGCCGTAGAATGACGTAGAGGGACGTGGGGCGTCTGAGAGGTATGCGCCGAAGATCTGTCGCCAGACGTGAGCACGCGTTCTGTATTTGTGATGACATTTGGGAACTTACACCTCCACTGCCGTCCTTGACCACAAGCACGAAGCCGCCTCTCTTTCCCCAATAATCCTCAGACTGCTTGTATAGCGTCCCTAAGCTGACGCCATTCTGTTCCAGACTGTATGCCAACTTCCACTCGTCCACCAGCTGTAGCCTTGGAGGTAGCAGGAGCCTGATCTCTTCTGCCAGCGCCGTGCTCAGGAGCTTGCCCTTTTCTCGCATGCCACCTCCCCATCCTTTCAGGCTCAGCGGTGTCAATGGCGGTGGTTGGAAAGGACTGGCTATCCGGTGTGGTGGTTGGAAGACGGCGTTCATATCTGAGGTAGTGGAGGAGACGAGACTCGCAAACGTGTTGGAGAGGGAAGATGCGGTGGACTGCAACTGCGATTGCACGTTGCCTATGCTGTTGCGATTACTGTTGGACCCCGATCGTGATTGCGCGTCTGATTTAGGACTCGTTTCCGTGTTCAGTCGTCGCAGGATGCCCGAGACTGCATAGGATACGGGATATGTGAAGTAGGAAGACGAGCGATTGGGGGTAGAGCGCTGGGGCGGCGGTGAGGTTTGTGACGACGGAGAGCGGACTGGTGGAGAAGACGGGGTATCTGATGGGTACGACATGAGCGGCAACTAATTACAATCGTAGCGATGTTCCTGAATTAATGTGGGTCGCGTGTTGGAGGTGGTGTGCTGGGGCTGTCGCAAGTCAGAGTAGCTGTGACGTTGCGCAAAATTAGTGGGCTGACAGCTGCTTGGAGCCTCACAGCGCCAGCAGCAGGAGACATGGCTGTTACATAAGCAAGCTTGTGAATGCGACGGATACATTTTCAGTCGCTATAATGAATAGCCGCCAATAGAAGGCAGGACGACGATGTATGCTTAGTGATTGCTTCACCCCTCTGGCTCCTCGATGTGTAGCTCCGCAGCCCTGACCGCTAGCATGCTAGCGCCTCCCTAGAAAGCTTGATCTCCGCTACCCGATAGGGCTGACCTCGCGTATCCATTGTGCATTTCAGAGGATTCCTATAGTCAGCTTACTGGGCTCTATCGAGTTCGAGGAGATGAATAGGCATGCTTGGTGCGATCGCGGGCATTGTCATACTTAACCCATTGTTATGTGCAGGCATCACGTTCTGCATCTCGTGGTGTGCATTGATTTAAGAAGCTATGCATCTCTAGTTGTTCTTTACTAGTCTTTACACTCTGCCATTCTCTGTCACGAGTACAGCTTGTGAGTTGTCTATGTACTCTGGACATTCTCTGTGGTCGGCTCGGGAGTCGCAGCATCCGCTTCTTCTGTTGCCGCCGCAAGATCCCTATCCAAATTCTTTTCATCTTCTACAGCCGCCGCCTCATCATCTCCATCTTCTGCATCACCCTTGAGCTTAGCACCCTTTCTTTCTGGCATAACTGCCATGAAAGCCTTGCCCCAGTCTCCAAATTCCATCCACTTGAGCATAATCTCTAGCACATGGTTCGTGACTAGGACTTGCCGACTCTTCATCTCCAGGTATTCGCCAATGGGTAATTTTGCTGTCTTGATCCCACGCTCCACAGCGCGCTTGTGACAGATGCCCTTGTGCCGGTTTTTGTCTACTAAACCACCAATTATGTAGGTGCTGTTGGGCTTCAGGTGCGTAAGAACATTGTCGGACTCGGATGAAAGATAGACAACTTCGCCTTCCTCCTCTGCAGCCTCTGCTTGTTCCTGCTCACTCGAACTGTTGGATTCTGCTGACGTCTTCAACGCACCAAGAACTTTTCCACCCTCTGGTCCTGACATCCACTGCTTGGCCTTCTCAGAGACTTCCACAAAATCTTGCTCGAAGAACTGGAAGCCTTTCCAACTCGTGTACTGTTTCGCTAAGATTCCATCGAACCGCTCCTTCATTTTGCCTCCAAAGCTGCTCAGTGCTAGGTGAGCTCTGAAGTTTGCCTTTCGGTTATCGCTGTAACACCTCGTGATTTGAAGTCCTAAGCTCTTGAGCTCATTGTCGAACATCAGCTCCTCGAAATCGCAGTCGAAGATTACTGTGATGGGTACTTGTTTTCCAGTTGCTTGTCTGGGAGGACGTGAAGGTGGTGGTCTCGGTCTCTTGCCATTCTCATCTGTAGGCATCTTCGCCCACTCTTCCCGTCGTCGCTCCTTCTTCTCTTTGACTTTTTCTTTTCGCTTCAATTTGCGATCTTCGCGTCCAGATTCCCAACGCTCGAGCCGTCTTTGCTTTTTGAGCTGGTTCTTTGACAACTTTGACTCTGCGCCTTCACCTTCAGCTGGTGTCCCGGTAGTCTCAGTAGAACCAGCTTGATTGCTATTCTCCGCAGCCACGGGTAGTTGTTCGTTTGGTGTTGGTATGGCAGCTGCGTCCGCCACGTCCACATCACCATCCGCATGTTCCAGCTTGCGCATCTTCGCAGGACGCTCTTCAGAATCCATTATTTCGTGGTCGTCCATCGATTAGAGAAATTAGGTCGTGATGCCTTTTGTCCACTCAGCATCGACAAAATTATGCTCACTCACTCCTTAGCGTGCCAAGCCAGATCCCTGTCATCGCGGCTTCCCGAGCTCGAACCTCACTTCACGTCTCCGCATTGACGACACCTTGGAACCCCAATTGAGCCACGAACAAATCGCCCAACATGCCGCAGGATATGCCGCCAACGGGCGGCTACAGCCCCGTACAATACAAGCGCAACTTGCCCGTACGAGGCTTCCGCCCCGCCGCATACCTTTTCGGAACCGCGGCGCTCATGACATACGGATTCTGGAGGGTTGGACAGGGAATCAGGGAGCACAAGTACGCGCATGCTCGAAACTGGACACGGCGACGTCCTGTAATATGAGGGGGAGTGCTGACAGATCACAGCGAACTCGCGCGCGAGAAGATGTGGGCGCGGATACACCTCATCCCAGCACTGCAGGCCGAAGAAGACCGGGACCAAGTACGAAGACATTTGGCGGACAAGGCGAGGGAGAAGGAGCTACTTGGCACAGAGACCAAGGTCTACAACAGCGACAGGTACGTGCTTGAAGACATGGCTTCTCACAGTACATTGGCTAATCATCTGATGACAGATTCGTTCGACCTACATTCGCAATCACCCCCGAGCACGAGACGAAATAGAGTGGCATACCGCTTTGTACGTGTATATACAAATTCAGAGGTCGTTGGCAAGACCAGGCTCATAGTGCCAATGCCTAAAGAACTGCTGTCTCCAAACGGAATCCTTCTTTGTGTTTGAAACTATGACGCAGACCACGCTCTCTAGACTCCAGAACAACGGAACTCTGGTTCTGATAGGGCCACTGCTTGTGCATCCACCTAGTCACAATGTTTTCGACCCTGCTGACTATGTCACACACTGTAATAGGGTCTAGTTTAAAGTACGGCTCGTAGACGTTGCAATTCTTAGTTTCACGACAACTCACAGTGACACCCTAGCGCGCTCCATCGCGCTGTACCTCACGCCCTGTGAGGCGCTACCTCCCGTATACACTTTACACTTTCACCAATTGCACACCACCTTCACGTTCCTCTTCCATACATCAGCTTCACTGACCGTCCTCATTAACACTTCAACCGCACCTTGAATACCAATCCTCGACCAAGTTTTGAAGACATCACAGCTCAACCATGTCTTTCTTTACTAACATGCTCCAAGGTTTCACGAGCACAGCACCTATCCGCACAAACTCTCCGCCACATACAAGCGGCAATGTCATCCCCAGCCAAATTGACGACGAAGACTGGGAGATTGTCAACCCACACGAAGCTGGTGTCTCTTACTACGACCGCGTCACACTTCTCCTCGGTCCTCGTCAAGAGACGCGCCATCAGATCCTCCTCGTCGACATACCTAAGTTTTCTAAACTTTTGAATAAACTCAAAATGCACGCGCCATTACGCCGCACCATACATCTCTCCTTCATCGACCTATCGATGGTAAAATTGTACCTCAATTCCCAGTCTATATCCGCTGATGCAATGGCCATTGAGTTGTCCTGGATAGACATCATCAAGCTAGCTGCCACGGCCAATACGTTCCAGGACACCGTCATCGAAGATAGGGCACTCGCAGCGCTGACGCAAAAGGCTACTGTAGCACTCTCGCCTGGTAATGCAGTATCACTCTTCAAGGAGGAAGACTTTGCATTTGCCTACACATACCACACCGAGACGGGCAACAGGGACAAGCTTATCAGGACGCTGCGTGATGTTCAACAAATGGACGAGCGTGAATCTGATATACCTGTGGTGAAGCTGCCAAAGGCTAGAGATGTGAAGCCGAAGCCGGAGGAGGTCAAGCAGAAGGTTTCGGATACCAAGTACAGTAAGAGTGTGTTGAAGGATAAAGGATTGAGCGCTGCAAAGAAGGAGGGAGATGACAGGGTGCACCCGATAAGGCAACCAACCGTGCCACCTAGCATCGAAGCCTTGAAGCGCGGGGATGCGAAGAATTTCGTTTGGTGCTGACAGAAGGGACACAAGCACCAAGGAGTGGCAGATGTCATGCTGTGTTGACACCTGAGAAGAAGCATGTCTCCCAACAGAAGATATACTGAGGTTTGTAGTAGATGGACAGATTATCTTCCCTTTTGGAACTTAACTTGCCTACGACGTTATGAATGCCTCCAGAGAAGTTAATGATACCACAAACTAGATGCGTAAACTATTTCCCTCCTTTTCACATCTCGAGCATAAACACGAGCCCTCAAACCACGGCCACAACATCTCCTGCCTTTGCTCCATCGGAATGCGTCGAACATTCAGGTAGCTACAGAACAACTCCTCACCCTTTGCAATAGGCTTGATGGCAAAGAAGCTCACAGTTGTACTTCCGTTCTCCCTTCTCCACTCTACATTCGGTTCGCAGCTGTGGTTGAATAGTGGTAGATGCGGCGTGATTTCGTCGACGAAGCCAAGTCGCGGGTCGGGAGACCCAGCTTTATTGTTCGCTAGACGAGTCCAGATCGAGTGTAAGATGTCCGTATCGAAGTTACGATTTGTGAAGATATCGACGCCAAGTTGTTCTAGGATCTTGATCGGAACAATGACTGACTCATTGAGAGTGAACACATCAAGATGCTCTTTGTTGGCAAGAGGCTTCAGACGCGCAATCAGCGGGTGATCTAGCGGTGAATGATCAATACCAGATTGGACGCATGTCGCCAGTAGCCGCAACATGAGAAGGGATCGTAGAGGCGAAGCGTTGTGCGTCAAGCCCTTGGCGGGTTTCTGGAGCCACGTAAAGTCTTTACCGCAGATGACTTTGTGATAGGTGTTCATTGCGAGATTGAGGCATGCTGCTGAGCAGTAGCTTTCAGCGCAGCATTCTGCCTGTGTTGGATTTTCCGGTAAGCGCGCGTAGCAATTACAGCAGGAGTCCGAGGATGGTGTACTACATATACCGGTAGCGGTTCGATCTGTAAGTATACATTCGCCAGCTTGTACTTCGCGAGCTGCGAACATGCCTAGCATGTCTTCATTCGAGTCCTTGGCCAAGCTACTTTGGCCCAGATAGCACGTTGCCTCTGTTTCGCCCCCTCGAAGCTCCTGATTAACGAGCTTCACGAGTTCTGGAGCCCTTCTGAGATGGCGTTCAATGGTCCATGGATACTCTACAGCGAGTACTCCACCATCTCTTATCCTATCTCTGAGCTCGAAAGATGTACCACCCAATGGTATAGCAGCCTCTTCTTTCCGCTTTAAGAGCTCACGTAATTTAGCAAGTCTCTTTCGGGTTTCTTCCTGCCGCCGCGGATCTGCATCGATTGCTGATTCGTCTAGAATTTCTGCTGCATCCCATTGGCAATGACAAGCTTGCAAAGCAGCTTCAAGCAAATTGTAAATGTGCGCCCTTTCTTGGTCGTTTCCAGGAGCTCTTTTCTCAAGAACCTTGGCTTTATACGCGTCAGCGACAGCAAGTTCGGGAAACCCAAGGATCATCATGCAGTTTCCTCGGCGTGACCAGGCATTGAAGTCGTAGGGTTGGCGTGCAATGCGCTCATTGTAGCTGTCGAGCGACTGCAGAGCTTCTCTGACCACACTGAGGTGTGATCGACTAGAAGCCAAAAGATCGATGGGCGGACCTGCTCCGGGGCGATAGATGGACGGCACCCAGCGCTGTGACAGTCCTCCATCTGTCGAGTCTGCGCATACGTTTGCGCTCGCTGGCGAAGCGAGACCTGTACTTTCCATTCCTAGCTGTATTCAGAGCCAAAGGCACTGGACGTCCCATGCCCATACTTCCTGTCAGTCCCGTGGAAGGGACGTGCACAGAGGTTGACGATGTTTGACGTCATCGCGGAGAGGATGCGGTTCACCTCGGCGCACAACCACCCCTCCACCACCAACACTATGGACTAAACATCCATAATACCCTAGAACGGAGAACACAAGCCTTTATTTATGGACAGCGAACAGAGTAGGCACATATTGCGACGCAGATTGTGCTGGCTGAGTAGCGCGTCAGCTTCGGAGTAATACCCTCCGACTGGACTCTGGGCGAGGCTGAGCATAAAGCGGTCTACAGTTCTCGACCAAACAGCAGGTCACTCGAAGAAGGGCGCATCGTGGTATGTTCAGGAGAGTAGGGTCAGCCTGGCATCCTCTGTTGGCTAATGTTTAGAACCTCGAGTCCGCGTACCCTACTATGGACAAGCTACATCAAACCTAGCAAGGCGAAACAAGTGGAGGCCAGTAGCTACACGTCGAAATGCCTCGGTAAACCCAAGGAACTCAACACTGCACGCCCCTGTCCTGCACGCCCCTGTCACACACGATAGGGAGAATTGATACGAAGATGACAGGCTCATTCGCTAAGCCTTATGGCCAAGAGAATCATACTGCTTTACAGGCAAGCTTGGTATTGCTTCTAAGAACACTGTTCTACGGAAAAGACTGTACAATATCTAAGATCGACCGGACTCCCGCAATGTTTATCTGCCATCACCAATGTTGCATCGATTACTACGTATCTAGCAGTAATCGGCAATGTTGTAAGTGGGGTATATGTGGCTAGTTCTGCACGCCGGACTGCCACCCTTGACGTAAAGCTTAGTCGCTGATTGTATGTCAGATTGTCTTCATGTGATTTTCAGCCTTGTTACTTACAATCTACCGGAAGATCCTTTCGTGGCTGCCTCACAATAGTCTGGCTCTTCTCACCCGGCGTGAGGTCATTCTCGCATTCAATCTGCTCGTTACCTCCGCTGACAGTTGTGCTACCAGTCCACAGGTCAATGTGGTGGATGCCAGCGTCCCAGTCGGTAGTGCATTGAGCGCAGTAGTCCTCGAAACGAAGATACTTCTTCGTGTATGGGTCGTAGATGATTTCACATTGTGTGAATTCGCCAGGGGCCGAGGCAAATGTCAAGGGGTCGGCATAGGTACCTGTACCGCCAGCCTTGTAGCCGCGGCCGCAGTCGTAGGCGGTGGCCGGACCGGGAGGATCGTTATCTGCAGGATTGAAGATACAGAGTCAGTTTATGTCTCATATGCATTTCATACAGTCAACCTACCTGGGTATCCGTAAAAGGTGTGGGTGACCTTGGAGACTTTGGAGCAGCCCAAAGCCGCAAGGCTGAAGGAAGACAATGCGACAAGTACTGAGGCGCGCATGTTTGATGATTGGGAAAAAGACAATGATCTTTGTGATCTTTGTGAGCTTTGTTATGATCTGGAGTCTTTCTCAAGCTGGTCAGTCATCTTTTATACTCTGTGTCTAGCAAGGCGGTAAGGCTTTCGTGAAGAGGCTACGGAACTCCAGTTTAGTCCACGTCTAGTTCTCACGATCACAAACCCGTTTCTGGACGAGGCGCTGAATAGACTGGGGCCGCATCATCTACAATTAGAAGATCACCACGCGTAGCCTACGCTTTGGTGGGTCGTCGTAGCTCGAGGGGGCTCTTTTCTTCGTATTTCACAGATTTTTATGTAAAGTGCTTGCTTTGTCACGATATGCTTGCCTTCATGATGCATGAAGCTGACGAAGCTGAACAGATGGTGTGCGACTAATTAATGCGAACCTTTTCCGTGGAGCAAGACTAGACATACTAAGAGGCGGGAGCGTCCCGTCTCGGGGTCGACCGCCGCTGCAGCCAATCGACGCACGCGTAGACATCTTGTGGCGCTGATGACGCATCATTCTGGTATCACAAAACACCGAAAGCGGTTCCTGCATCGCAAGATTGCTCGGAATGGCTCGACTTCAGCTTCTGTATTCACGCACCACCTACGTATGTGTATGTGTACGGCCTACGATAGGCTATTGGTGATGGGGCCGATCAGGCTGGCCTGTTGTTTTGCAGCGATCGTTTCTTGTTGCATCACAGCCTTGTGAAGATGCAGCAAGTTTCCTAACTAGACAGTGGAGCCGCATTTACGAGCAATAAGCCCCGGCCCACCTCTTGAGTCGCCTACTGCAACGCCTTTCGACTCGCGTCTATCAGCGGCACTCACATTCAGCAAGCCCTCAGACTTCACAAGATCATGCCGTATTCTAGCATCAGTTCTTGGATGGCTTTCAGCCTCGCCTCAATTATAGTTCTTATTCAAGTCGCTTCCAGCTCGAGAATCGCGACGTTTACGGACGGGCAGTGCAAGAATGCGTTCCAAAGTATCAATGCAGAAAATGGCGTAAGTGTACCTATACGAACTGCATGTGAGACACAGACTGACTTCGCCCTCCAACAACTAGTATCCTAATGGTACTTGCACTCGATTGGCCGACCAGGGAAAATACGAGAGCTTTCAGGTCGTAGGTCTTGATCCAGGCTGCAGTGGTAAGTCGTTGCGTTGTACTTTTATAGAAAAGTTGCACTTACTGAAAACACTAGCTACCATCTACGGAGCCGATAGCGAAGAATTCGTACCATGCTCTTCGACAGTCCTCCAGTTCGCTCAGATAGCCGAGTGCTATAACTCGTCTTTCGTCTATTACAGCGTCGATGCTTGTACACCACCTGATCAAATATCGTCGTCGTCGCTGATTGCAACATCATCGTCCTCCCCATCTTCGACCCCATCTTCTAGTGCAGTGAGCGGACCCAAGAAGAACAACACTGGTGCTATAGCTGGTGGTGTAGTTGGTGGCGTGTGTGGACTTGCTCTCATCGCTGTCGCTATCTTTTTACTTCTACGGCGTAAGAAGAAACGGGATCAAGTGCCAGAGATACCCTCCGACGAGCGACGAGAGGTTGGTGGAAGTGCAATTACTGAATTGCCACATGAAGATCGAAAGCAAGAGATGGATTCCAAGAACATAGCACCTCAGGAAATCGGTGCCAAGCCTAGCGTGGAAATACCACCCGCTGAGCTGCCAGGCGACGATGTTGCTCAGGATTCTCAGTACATACCTGACTCTCAGCTCACTATCGGTGAGAAGCGCTAAGATCATTGGAGATAATTCCGCAAAAGAACGAAAGTGTTAAGGAGTTGAGAGGCGTGAGTATAGCTTCAGGGTCCCAGGATATGTTGTGAGAGTAGGTCGAGGCCAGTCGAATGTAACATCTCAATTCAACTAGGAGTATCCGTCAGGTTCAGGAAAGGTTAGCTAACTGCCAATTCTATCCTTTTAGTGCGCGTCTAGTATACCGCTAAGAAGTGGTCCAGAAACAGGGCTGAGGGATATCGTCTTCTTCACACACTACCACACAAGTGCACGTAAGGTGACATTGCGATGGTGCATCCATACAGTCATTCCGCAACAGTAAGTCAGTGGACCTGTACCTTCAATTCCTCGACAGGATGCCAATCCAATCGTGCGTTCAGGACGGCGACCCCGCATGCGATAAGCCTCGCGGACACAACTCCGCCGCATCACACATGATTTCAACCTTGTCAAAAGACTACCATCAGCCGCACAACGCTATATGTGAAGCTTGATGACTCTGTATATAGTTACATTCTTCAGCTAACCGTGAAGCATCTGCCAAGCATACACTAGACAAGAGTGACCTTTCCTCAGCTGCCTTGGGTAAAGCCACCCTTAGGTCTTTGTAGTAATTGACAAGGAACTTACACAACAAGATACTAAAAAGATAAACTCTCTGGCGCAGCATGGAATGGCTGTTCATGGCGTGGCTGAAGATGAGCGCCACTATCGAGATACATCGTACAGTCTCGACTCCAATTGCTTGGCTGGGATACATGTATGCGGCAAGAATGCACGAAACATGTATAAGAGTGACCTACATTGAGTCCAGCTTCTGAACTCATCCTACTAACAATAAGACAAGATCTCAGCATCACATCTCTTCGATCACAGCCATCTCTCTCAGTTGCATCTTCACGTATTCACCAGTCAATCTCTTTACCATATTCCACGACTAGTCTCTAGAATGCAGTCCATACAAGATAAGGTGAACAAACTGACCAGGCTCCCATCTCCTTCGCAGCGAGCTCCCGATCTTGCAAGTGGCCGCGTTCGCCTGTATCAAGATTTCAACTGGAATAGCAACAATACCGAAATCAACATCCACGATGGTTACTCCCAGAAGAGCCGCCATCGAGTAGACCAAAGGCTGTTCGACAAAGCTAGTTGGATTGCATTCAATTTGCCGGTCGGGACCGTCCTTACGTTCATGGACCACCTTCCAAGTGTGCCCGCCTCGGGGAAGTACGCAGACCTCTCTGATGCCGGCCGTACGCTCGACCTCATTGGGACCGGACAAACCGAAGGCGTGGATCTCGATCGGTTGCAGATGAATGACAAGATATCGCAATTCTTTTGGCGCACGGTTGACCTGAATCAAGGCGCAATCGAGCTTTTCGACGACCAAGACTTCACGAATAATCGTGTTACCATATGTGTGTCGATTCCAATTCCAGCAGGTCGGCTTTTGACGGCTAACATATCCATGTGCTGTAGTCTTGAGCGAGTGGGCCCCTAAAACCCTCCACACCATGGATCGATGGTGGATAAACGATAGAACAACGTCCCTACGATGGAAAAGTCTGGATCGCGAGTCTGTTGAGCTCTTCGACAATCCAGACGGCAGAGGCGAGAGCTTCAACAGGATCATGGGCGGTGGCGAAACCCGAGAGGTCCGGAAGCTACAGGATTTCGGCTTCAACGACCGAATAACAGCATTCAGATGGAGCAACATCAAGCCAATATACGAGGTCGTCCAGCCTGTAGTTATTGCAGAGACCGACCAGGATGTGGATCAATCAATCTATGAGGAAATATGGGCGAAGAATCTTGGCGACGAACAAGCCTTGGTGGCCATTAAATTCGCCAAAGAATACACGATCTCGGTACGTTTTGGATGTAAGAAATGTCTGTGAGACGTACACTGATCTTATACTTCCCTTTCATAGATCACCACAACAGTGAGAGATACATACGCCACTGGTGTGGCCGCCGAGTACTCTGTATCTGGCAAAGCAGGCATTGGTATTGTTGAAGCTACAGTAGGATGGAAGGTGGCAGTCAAATTCGACTACGAGCACGAAACCTCCAAATCTACGAGTGTGACAACCACACTGACTGTAGGCATCGATCACTCCATCATGGTACCCGCTCGTAGCAAGAAACTTGTCTATGTTACCATTCACAGGAGCAAGGTCAACTCGAAGACGTACACTACCAAAGCCGAACGTTGGTACAATGAACGTCTTACTGGATCTCATCAGAGCAACAGAGACGGCCAAGAACTTTGGAAAAGGGATGAGACGGTGCAAATTACTGTTGACGGTGGTTTGCAAGGCAAGACAGAGATAGTTTTAGGCGAGACAAAACCGTTGTAGCAAAGGCGTAATGCATGGTTTGTTGTCACCAGATATGGCGATAGTGCATAGAGTTCTTACATGGGTAGAGTAATGCAATGGCTATTATGTTTCACCTAAGGTCAGACCTCAATGACGACTATCCAATGCAGTCGGTATACCATACACCAACACGCCAAAACTCCATGCGACAACCTGAGCAGAAATCCAAGCTCACTGAAGTCATCTATGTCGGCCGCTTGAAAGGATGCGCCTCAGTATTCAATACCCAATCATCCAAGCTAATCAGATCCTCTTCCGCAAACAACAAGTAGAAGTACTTCAGCGTCTCCGCTAGCCAAAAACTCTCCATCTCATCGTTGAGCTCCGGCGTCAGTTTGGTAACGTCGTCGATGGCTGAGTTACCAAACTCAGTGGCTGTATGTTGGTCGATGGCGAGGAACATACGCCATCCTGCATCGCGCCAGTGTGAATCGCCAGTTATGCGGTACATGTACCAGACGGACTCTATGGCTTCGGGGCTATCCAGATGTTAGCGACTAGATAAACCTTGTCGTGAAAGTAAGTGACTCACCGGAGGATGTAGTTCTTGGCCCCAATCCTCGTGACACCCGGTGGCAGACGGTCCTCTTGAATTCTGTTCTGCACATAATCTTCGTGGTTCATGACTGGCTGTGGCGAATAGACGTATGGGAAGTTGGGCAGCGTAAGACTAGCCTGCGGCGCAAGCTCCGCAATGTTCGAATCAGGTTGAACTTTGGTGGGTGGCCCCTCGCCTTCCTCGGACTCGCCGCCCATGACCGACTCGTGGTCCTGCGAAGCGCTCGCTGATGCAGACGCAGACGCGATCACGGATGACATGTGTGCAATCTCTACATCGTCTACGTGTTCGATAATTTGACGCTTATCCAGCGTATCTGCGTAGACCAAGGAAGACGTGGCCTGGGCCTCAACCGCAGCAGCTACAACAGGGGTAGGCGGTGCGGTCATCGCAGCAAGTTCTGCCTCATACCATGATGAAGCGGACGCAATCTGCGACTCGTACACTTTGCGCTGCTCCTTGTAGGTTTCTATTCGGGACTCATATCGTGGATCGATGTACTCCCAGTACGCTGTTTGGTTCCATGTACAGTCTTTCCTGTCTTCACATGGAGCAACCTCAAACGATTCCGGCATGATGCCGGTCGGAGTCATGCTGTAACTCCAGACGCAGCCCTCTGTAAGCTTCTTTGCGATCTCAAGATCCTCAGGGCGGTCGAATAGCTTTGCGCCCATGCCGAACATACCACCAGCAAAACAGGTGAGATGTGCGTTTTCAGCAGTTAGGTCACCCGCTTTGGTAGCATCGATATTGGATGGGACGTTTAGCTTGCCAGAAAAGAGAATGTCTTCCCCCTTCGGTAGCATTGGTCGAAAAATCAGATGTTTCTTGACGACATCCATCGACTGTTCGTACATGGTCCGGTACTTCTCAATCTGGCCACCAAGAAGCAAGTACTGCTTGGGCAGATATTCGTACGTAGAGTCCGACATACCGCCTAGCGTGAACTCTTCGCGTCCGTAGCTGGAGCTTGATACAAAACCTTGGGGTATGCATTCTGGGGGCGTCGGCTTAGCGTAAGAGGCGGACGAAGTCGAAGAGGCGACCTGAGCATCCAGCACCGCTTTCGGTGGTTCAGACTCATCGATATCGAGCTGTCGCTTTTCCACTGCACTGCTGTCCCAATCCTTGATCTTCGCCTTTCCAGCGGTACCGGGAACCACGGAGTCTTCCTTGGCAGCTGTGTCAGCCGGCACATCATCTTGCGCAAGCACGACAGGGTCCGGCAAGTCTAATGGTACGTATTTCTTGCCTTCTGGAGAAAGCATCTCGGTAGGGGAGGGTGTAGCAGGCTCAGCAACAGTTGACGACAGGTCGTCAAGATAACCTGCTGGAGCTTTGAGAGGCGCCTGGGGAGGCATATCGATATACTGTCTTCCGCATCCGGAAGCATCCAGATATGTTGGCCACATTCCAGGGAGTTGAGTCTTCCCCTGAAATTCCTCCAGGTTGTCCGTGATGCGTGCAATGGCATCGTAGTACTTGTGTTCTCCTGTGAGCTGCGCGAGTCGAGTGAATTCCATAGAAAGTGACCCTATCTCGGCCAGAACAACATGTGCGCTAGCACGGTGCTGTTGAGACGCGAAATCAGGCCTCCAGTAATAATACGTCTCAGGCATCCGGTTGGGTGTGTCAAACGCGCTTATAAGAATTTCGGCGAGCTCTACCGCCTTGGCTAGCAGATTCTTATACTTCTTGTCGCTCAAATCGTAGGCAGCCAGCAGCCCACCAAGATAGCGAATAGTTGTTTCGAACAAGGGGATATCAGCGCGCGGGGTCGTGGTGAAATCGATCCTGTCCACTGCCTTTACAGCCTCTTCGAACTCATCCTTGAGCCCCATTATCCACAAAGTGTCAAGGGCGTCTACCAACGTTGCACCCCAGTGGGCAAAGGGATCTCTGAAAGTACCAGACTGTGGCCGCAGCTCGTCGTGTAACCAGGCATTTGCCTTGTATCCTTCCCAAGACTTCTTTGCTACACTTCTGATCTTGTCCAGTTTTGCGATCCTTTCGGCCTTTGCTGTCGCATCTTCCGGCTTGAACTTGGCTTGAATCTTAGGTATGGATTTCGGGGTGCCAGACGGCAGCTTGATGAGCGATTCGGCGGCAACGGGGAAGTGTTCGGGAAGTTTCGTCCAGTGAATGGCATCAATAATTGATGATGGTTCCAATGCGTTGTCCGCAATAACGGGCTGGCCATGTGGTTGTGGTCGAATGGGTGTAGGGATAGAGGGCTTCTGTTGCTGCTCGGTGACAGCAGGGCTCAATGTTGACGAAGGAGCCGGTGTCTTCACAGGAGGCGGCGTCTGAAGTGACTGCGGAGTACTAGCTGCGGGTACATCTAGCACCAGACTTCTCGTCTCATGTGCCACAGCGGGACGCGGAGGAGTGTCCTCCTGTGGAGCCTTCTCAGCATCGCTTTTCAGGCCAGCTGAGCCAACGGCGTTCGATGCAGCTTCTCTCCATGCCGCCGCGCTTGAACCCCCAAATTTGTATAGCGCTAGTACAGCAATAACAGCAAAGACAAGGAAGGCGCGGTAACGTCGATATCGAAACATGGTGGAGGGAGCGTGGGAGAATCGAAAGGCGGGTATCGCGAGCGCTTCGTCGCCGAATGAGGAATGGAAGCGTGGAAGGAGTGTATCGCGTCGCTATGTTGTCGCTGCCATCTGAGCGCGAATGTAGTGAAAGGAACAGGAACTCGAGCCAACAGAAAGTGAACGACTGGCAGGTGGCTTGTCTTGTTTCCAACAGTCTTGGCTCTCGACACAGCAGCTAGCGTATGCACGCCCTGGAGATCTCTCGATGGGTCCGTAGCAGATCTTTCGCTTTACAATTTCGCGAAAGAAATATGTGAGAGATAAGCATTCAAAACAAATACGGAATGACATTCTTTATAAGACATATACACGTTGCCGTCACTTTCCACATGGCATCTTCTAACTTTAAGATGCTCTGCGCTCCCGCACGCGAGGCCACGCCCCCGCACCAGAACAGCATCCGTCCTAGCCGAACGCTAAATTTAAGCTTAAATTACCCTGGCCAAAAAGGGGTCCAGCATTGGACATCTCTGCATATGTTTCAGCTGTGCAGAACGCGTTTCAACCACGAAGTCTGTCTACACATGTGTTTGACAGACGATAAAATTGGACCCCAAGTTCCTACGATCAAAGTATCAAGGGGAATGTCAATCACTCCGATGGAACTAGGCTGGCCATGTGACGCGATCGTATTATTTTAATCTATTTAGACAGAGTCGGCATGCAGCACCGGCACAAAGTAGGCTTCGCTACCTTTCATCTACTTGTACTGCACATTTTTCGTACTTCTATATCGGTAGAATGTTGCTCACACGATGGTGCTGCGGTAGCCTGTCTTGTCTTCCAGATATAAAGCGATACTATCATTGCTCCTCGCCGCCAGGTCCAGGTTGTCGTCCCTAGGTATCGGTTAGCTTTTGTTGTTCTGTAGTCGGTGTATCTACTCACCATCTGTCGTGCTTTGAGCATCTCGTCACACAACAGCAAGTTCGACGCGATACCGGTAGCGGATGCAATGCAGTTGCGCAGTACTCGGAACGAATCGTAGACACCTTCTTGAGTAGGGTCCATTGCTTCTCCAGTTGCAAGGTTCAAACCGACGACATTGCCCTCGGCGTGCTCGTCCTGCAGCGCAGCCACTGTTATTTGGTAAGCATAGTAAAGTGGAAAGCAGCAGAACGATACTTACACGAATCCTGGATATCATGACCCGAGTTCGCCGCAAGTGTCTTAGGAATGACAAGCAGTGCGTCAGCGAAGGCCGATACACCCCACTTCGCTTTACCCTTGACTGTCTTCTTGAATTGCTCACTGTTGAGATGAGCTGCGCATGCGACTTGGAAAGCACCTCCACCTGGTACGACGCTTCCGTCTACGATCATGTTGTACACACTCCTCAAACCGTCGCGAACGGCGTCCTTGATCTGAGCAATGGTGTGTGTGTTTGGGCCCTTGATAAGTAAAGTGACGGACTTTGGCTCCTTGACATCCTCCTGTTTGTTGTGAGCGTGTGCCCTATTATTTTACTGGATTCACTTACAATGAATGTGTACTTCTCCTCACCAAGCTGGTGCTCGTAAACAAGACCTGCGTATCCGAGGACATCTGGTGTCATGTCGTCTACACTGTTTTGCGATGTGCCACCGCACACCAGCTGGAGACGCTCCATGTTCCTCCTCTTCGCTCTTCTCAGCGCGAAGATTCCGTTCTTGACAAGGACATCCAGACTGAGCGGGTCGATACCCTTCTGGTTTATTATCACGAAGCCCTTCTTAGGGTCGTCGCCGCAAACCTCCTTCTTCAGCTCCACGATCTTCCTCAACTTCTCGTCAACGAAGCGGCGCTCGCTCTCAACAAGCTTCTCCCTCTGTTCGGCGCTC